ATAGCTAATGTATATTGCCCTTCAGCCAATTAAATACGAGGGTAACAGAAATCTGTAAGAAAAGTCCAAAAACGTCTTAGGACGTCCATAGCACTGGGGGTCAGGAAAAAAAATAACGTCCAAAGACGGGCGTAGCAGCGTACGGGAAATCGGGAAAAGACGTCCATAGCAGCGAAAGGGTTAAGACTAGGATAAAATTGTCGGCTCTCCTTTGAACGGCATCATAATATGGCGGCGTTCGGAGGAGAGCCACATTCTGGCCATAAAATATCCGAATGGGGCTCAGTTATATTGAAAAATATGCCAGCTCCGTATAACGAAACAAATGCTCTAACAGGGTCTCAGCGATATGTTACTTGCGGACCTGTTTCTTATTGTTTCTGATTACCTGACAATTCTAAGAGACGCACGCAACACTGCAGACGATAATAATAATAATAGCGACCGTTGGTAATTTCCATTGTCGAACTTTCTGCCGACGAATAAATCGCGGCAAATTTAGGATCGGCTCGGAAAAACGACACAAATGCTCTAACAGGGTCTCAGCGATATGTTACTTGCGAACCTGTTTCTGTGACTATGCCTCACCGCCGAGGGTATCCCCCGCGCCGCTACGTGCTGCGCGGAAAGGGCTAAACTAGATAGCTGGGACTCACGAGCGGCAGCTATCGCATCTCCTGCAACTTCCTCCAATTACTTTGCTCGTGAGTTCCAGACACCTAGTTTAGCCCCCATCCGCGCGTAGTAGCGCGGGGGATATGCTAGGCGATGAGTTTAATCGCGTTTTGTGCATGCTGACAAGTCTGACATCTACCGCTGCTAAATCCTCCAATCGGAAGGACAGTATTGCTAATCGCTTTCATCGTCTGTAATGTCTCAAAATTGTCAACGGTCGCTAATATCGTCTGCTAGTATCGTCTGCAGAAACGCTCGAAATTATCAGCGGTCGGTATTTATCGTCTGCTACTACCGCGTGCAATGTTGATATTCTTCTTCTTCTTCACGTTCACCAGCTGTACTCTGGCGAAAAGTTCTGGTTGCTCGTCCACTACTGAACTGCAGTCCTGCTCAAGAACCTGAGTGTTGCGTGTGCATCAGTTTTACAGATCTCATTCTCTTGAATACAGACTGTTGGTTCCTTGCCTCTCTGGCAGATGCACTCCGACTTCAAAGGAAGCTCCCCAATTAGTCGACTCTTACGACATGCTTTTGGGGAGGCAGTGGGTCTATTCTTGTTTTCCCCACAATGGGGCCCCGGAACCCACACGGGGGAATGTTGATATTGATTGTCAAGTAATCCTAGTTTTTGCCGCGATTTGTTCCTTGGCAGACAGTCCATATTTTAGATATGCCTGAGCACCGTTTGGATATTTTTGGCTATTTTATGGCCAGAATATAGCTCTCCTCCCAACGCAGCCATATTATGATGCTGTTCGAAGGAGAGCCAAATTGTCACGCCATTGGCGCATCCGGCTGTTTTGTGCTGTTTATTTATGTACCAACTGACCCTCGATGTGTGATCACGTGGTCAGCATCACGGTTACCTTTAGCTTCTCAGTACATTTGATTGTACCTGTTTGAGACTGCACCAGCAGGCACATTTCTGGCCTCTGTGTGAGACTGCACCAGCAGGCACATTTCTGGCCTCTGTTTAAGACTGCACCAGCAGGCACATTTCTGGCTGCTACATGAGCTGCAGTTATTTGTTTGGCCTCATGCAGTAATAACCCCTTATTGCTGTGGCAAGGAACAGTCAGATAGCCCACATTGCTGTGGCAAGGAACAGTCAGATACCCCACATTGCTGTGGCAAGGAACAGTCAGATAGCCCACATTGCTGTGACAAGAAACAGTCAGATACCTCACATTGCTGTGACAAGGAACAGTCAGATACCTCACATTGCTGTGGCAAGGAACAGTCAGATACCCCACATTGTTGTGGCAAGGAACAGTCAGATACCTCACATTGCTGTGACAATGAACAGTCAGATACCTCACATTGCTGTGGCAAGGAACAGTCAGATACCTCACATTGCTGTGGCAAGGAACAGTCAGATACCCCACATTGCTGTGGCAAGGAACAGTCAGATAGCCCACATTGCTGTGACAAGAAACAGTCAGATACCTCACATTGCTGTGACAAGGAACAGTCAGATACCTCACATTGCTGTGGCAAGGAACAGTCAGATACCCCACATTGTTGTGACAAGGAACAGTCAGATACCTCACATTGCTGTGACAATGAACAGTCAGATACCTCACATTGTTGTGGCAAGGAACAGTCAGATACCTCACATTGCTGTGACAAGGAACAGTCAGATACCTCACATTGCTGTGGCAAGGAACAGTCAGATACCTCACATTGCTGTGGCAAGGAACAGTCAGATACCTCACATTGCTGTGACAAGGAACAGTCAGATACCTCACATTGCTGTGGCAAGGAACAGTCAGATACCTCACATTGCTGTGACAAGGAACAGTCAGATACCTCACATTGCTGTGACAAGGAACAGTCATATACCTCACATTGCTGTGACAAGGAACAGTCAGATACCTCACATTGCTGTGACAAGGAACAGTCAGATACCTCACATTGCTGTGGCAAGGAACAGTCAGATACCTCACATTGCTGTGACAAGGAACAGTCAGATGCCTCACATTGCTGTGACAAGGAACAGTCAGATACCTCACATTGCTGTGACAAGGAACAGTCAGATACCTCACATTGTTGTGGCAAGGAACAGTCAGATACCCCACATTGTTGTGGCAAGAAACAGATACCTCACATTGTTGTGACAAGGAACAGTCAGATACCCCACATTGTTGTGGCAAGGAACAGTCAGATACCTCACATTGCTGTGACAAGGAACAGTCAGATACCTCACATTGTTGTGGCAAGGAACAGTCAGATACCCCACATTGTTGTGGCAAGAAACAGATACCTCACATTGTTGTGACAAGGAACAGTCAGATACCCCACATTGTTGTGGCAAGGAACAGTCAGATACCTCACATTGCTGTGACAAGGAACAGTCAGATACCCCACATTGTTGTGGCAAGGAACAGTCAGATACCTCACATTGCTGTGACAAGGAAAAGTCAGATACCTCACATTGCTGTGGCGAGGAACAGTCAGATACCCTACATTGTTGTGGCAAGGAACAGTCAGATACCTCACATTGCTGTGGCGAGGAACAGTCAGATACCCCACATTGTTGTGGCAAGGAACAGTCAGATACCCCACATTGCTGTGGCAAGGAACAGTCAGATACCTCACATTGCTGTGACAAGGAACAGTCAGATACCCCACATTGTTGTGACAAGGAACAGTCAGATGCCTCACATTGCTGTGGCAAGGAACAGTCAGATACCTCACATTGCTGTGACAAGGAACAGTCAGATACCCCACATTGTTGTGACAAGGAACAGTCAGATACCCCACATTGCTGTGGCAAGGAACAGTCAGATACCTCACATTGCTGTGACAAGGAACAGTCAGATACCCACATTGTTGTGACAAGGAACAGTCAGATGCCTCACATTGCTGTGGCAAGGAACAGTCAGATACCCCACATTGTTGTGACAAGGAACAGTCAGATACCCCACATTGCTGTGGCAAGGAACAGTCAGATACCTCACATTGCTGTGACAAGGAACAGTCAGATACCTCACATTGCTGTGGCAAGAAACAGTCAGATACCTCACATTGCTGTGGCAAGAAACAGTCAGATACCTCACATTGCTGTGGCAAGGAACAGTCAGATACCGCACATTGCTGTGGCAAGGAACAGTCAGATACCCCACATTGTTGTGGCAAGGAACAGTCAGATACCCCACATTGTTGTGGCAAGGAACAGTCAGATACCCCACATTGTTGTGGCAAGGAACAGTCAGATACCTCACATTGCTGTGGCAAGGAACAGTCAGATACCTCACATTGCTGTGGCAAGGAACAGTCAGATACCTCACATTGCTGTGGCAAGGAACAGTCAGATACCCCACATTGTTGTGGCAAGGAACAGTCAGATACCTCACATTGCTGTGACAAGGAACAGTCAGATACCTCACATTGTTGTGGCAAGGAACAGTCAGATACCTCACATTGCTGTGGCAAGGATTGTCAGATACCTCACATTGCTGTGGCGAGGAACAGTCAGATACCCCACATTGTTGTGGCAAGGAACAGTCAGATACCCCACATTGTTGTGGCAAGGAACAGTCAGATACCCCACATTGTTGTGACAAGTCAGAACAGTTGTGGCAGATACCCCACATTGTTGTGACAAGGAACAGTCAGATACCCCACATTGTTGTGGCAAGGAACAGTCAGATACCTCACATTGCTGTGACAAGGAACAGTCAGATACCTCACAGTGCTGTGGTGAGGAACAGTCAGATACCCCACATTGTTGTGGCAAGGAACAGTCAGATACCCCACATTGTTGTGGCAAGGAACAGTCAGATACCTCACATTGCTGTGGCGAGGAACAGTCAGATACCCCACATTGTTGTGGCAAGGAACAGTCAGATACATTGTTGTGGCAAGGAACAGTCAGATACCCCACATTGTTGTGGCAAGGAACAGATACCCCAGATAGGAAACAGTCAGATACCCACATTGTTGTGGCAAGGAACAGTCAGATACCCCACATTGTTGTGGCAAGGAACAGTCAGATACCCCACATTGCTGTGGCAAGGAACAGTCAGATACCTCACATTGCTGTGACAAGGAACAGTCAGATACCCCACCTCAGGATCTAGTATTCCCTGTCTGGGTTCCACAACTACTTAAGGAAGTGAGTGGGGGGGGGGGGGGTGTCATGAGAATAGACCCGCTGCTCCTCTAGTTTTAAAATATAACTAAAGTTTTATTGAAAATGAATGTATTGGCCAAAGGGCACATATATCATAGCACTAGGTGCCAACCACTTTTTTAGGGTAAATGCAGAAGAATAAGAAGTGTCCACTATGGGATGACCTTGAACTATTTTACCTCACCAGGGTGACAGACCAGCACAAGAAAGAATGGGACTCCTGGAGAATGCAGGTTTGCCAGAGAGTCGTCACTGGGCAAGTCAGCCTGATAGTCATCAGTCTGCCCTACGATCAGCGATATTGAAAGTGATACCTTTAGCCCCTAGCGACTGTCTGGAATGTAAGCTCGTGGGAAGCAGTGTGATGATGTTGAGTGGGCTGTTGGTGCTGACTTCAGCAGTTTCAGCCAGAAAGAGGTACACCTTGAAACTTAACATTCATTTCCTGTCCTTAAATGATATCCTGAAACAAATTATTTCCACCATGTAAACAATCAGTGCATGTCCGAGGTAGAGCTGTGGCATGCCAGTGGAACCATCAGTGCATGTCCGAGGTAGAGCTATGGCATGCCAGTGGAACAATCAGTGCATGTCTGAGGTAGTGCTGTGGCATGCCAGTGGAACAATCAGTGCATGTCCGAGGTAGAGCTATGGCATGCCAGTGGAACCATCAGTGCATGTCCAAGGTAGAGCTATGGCATGCCAGTGGAACCATCAGTGCATGTCCAAGGTAGAGCTATGGCATGCCAGTGGAACCATCAGTGCATGTCCGAGGTAGAGCTATGGCATGCCAGTGGAACCATCAGTGCATGTCTGAGGTAGAGCTATGGCATGCCAGTGGAACAATCAGTGCATGTCCAAGGTAGAGCTATGGCATGCCAGTGGAACAATCAGTGCATGTCTGAGGTAGAGCTATAGCATGCCAGTGGAACAATCAGTGCATGTCTGAGGTAGAGCTGTGGCATGCCAGTTGAACCATCAGTGCATGTCCGAGGTAGAGCTGTGGCATGCCAGTGGAACCATCAGTGCATGTCTGAGGTAGAGCTGTGGCATGCCAGTGGAACCATCAGTGCATGTCCGAGGTAGAGCTGTGGCATGCCAGTGGAACCATCAGTGCATGTCCGAGGTAGAGCTATGGCATGCCAGTGGAACAATCAGTGCATGTCCAAGGTAGAGCTATGGCATGCCAGTGGAACCATCAGTGCATGTCTGAGGTAGAGCTATGGCATGCCAGTGGAACAATCAGTGCATGTCTGAGGTAGAGCTGTGGCATGCCAGTGGAACCATCAGTGCATGTCCGAGGTAGAGCTGTGGCATGCCAGTGGAACAATCAGTGCATGTCCGAGGTAGTGCTATGGCATGCCAGTGGAACAGTCAAAGGTTTACTTGTATGAGACAACGTTTCTTGTTCTTTTTTTTTTTCTCCATCTTCTTTGTCCACCCATCCTTCTTTCTCTTCTCTTTCTTTTGCTGCTCCTCCTTCAACAGATCAACAAAAGCATAGAAATCAAACAGAAATCAAGGGCTGTTTTTCCTGTGGTGTACAAGCTACATTCTGCTTATCCCAAATTTTTAATATTTTTACCTTCCAGAATATTTCTGGTACCCACTGTAAATGGTGTCCTGGCACCCACTGTAAACTATGTCCTGGCACCCACTGTAAACTGTCCTGGCACCCACTGTAAACTATCCTAGCACCCACTGTAAACTGTGTCCTGGCACCCACTGTAAACTGTGTTCTGGCACCCACTGTAAACTGTCCTGACAGCCACTGTAAACTGTGTCCTGGCATTCATTGTAAACTGTCCTGACAGCCACTGGAAACTGTGTCCTGACACCCACTGTAAACTATGTCCTGGCGTACATTAACTGTGTCCTGACACCCACTGTAAACTGTGTCCTGACACCCACTGTAAACTGTGTCCTGACACCCACTGTAAACAGTGTCCTGACACCCACTGTAAACTGTCTCCTGGCACCCACTGTAAACTGTGTCCTTACCCCCACTGTAAACTGTGTCCTGGCACCCACTGTAAACTGTGTCCTGGCACCCACTGTAAACTGTGTCCTGACACCCACTTGAAACTGTGTCCTGACACCCACTTGAAACTGTGTCCTGACACCCACTTGAAACGGTGTCCTGACACCCACTTGAAACTGTGTCCTGACACTCACTTGAAACTGTGTCCTGACACCCACTTGAAACTGTGTCCTGGCACCCACTGTAAACTGTCCTGGCACCCACTGTAAACTGTGTCCTGGCACCCACTGTAAACTGTGTCCTGGCACCCACTGTAAACTGTGTCCTGGCACCCACTGTAAACTGTGTCCTGGCACCCACTGTGAAACCGTGTGTGTCCTGGCACAACACCTGTAAACTGTGTCCTGACACCCACTGTAAACTGTGTCCTGAAACACCCCACTGTAAACTGTGTCCTGACACCCACTGTAAACTGTCCTGACACCCAAACTGTAACCCACTGTGACTGTAAACTGTCCTGGCACCCACTGTAAACTGTCCTGACACCCACTGTAAACTGTCCTGACACCCACTGTAAACTGTGTCCTGACACCCACTGTAAACTGTCCTGACACCCACTGTAAACTGTGTCCTGGCACCCACTGTAAACTGTCCTGGCACCCACTGTAAACTGTCCTGGCACCCACTGTAAACTGTGTCCTGGCACCTACTGTAAACTGTGTCCTGGCACCCACTGTAAACTGTGTCCTGACACCCACTGTAAACTGTGTCCTGGCACCCACTGTAAACTGTCCTGACAGCCACTGTAAACTGTGTCCTGGCATTCATTGTAAACTGTCCTGGCATTCATTGTAAACTGTGTCCTGACACCCACTGTAAACTGTCCTGGCATCCATTGTAAACTGTGTCCTGACACCCACTGTAAAATGTGAGAACCTGGAAGCCCAAGTAGTTTTGTTTGAAATCCCTGTCTTGAAGAGAGTTTTGAACACAAAGGTGGGAGGCAAGCATACTGGCCACATTATCTTGGCTCTCCAGTAAAAGCCTCGAGCCTCACATCGCAAGTGTCCATACAGCATGTATCTGTACTAGCACACAGTTGGTGGTTTCTTGTGTAACACTGAGTTATTGCAGAGAACATAGGGTGTAGGTATGTTTGGTCATGTTGTGACCAGATGGAGTCTGGTGACAGTCTTTTGGTCATGTTGTGACCAGATGGAGTCTAGTGACAGTTGTTTGGTAATGTTGTGACAAAAGATAACCTATTGAAAGCAAAAGAATTAGGATATTGGTCAGATAATTTAAGAGGGTGATAATCCTGGTTGGGGGGGAGTTTTACTGGTCAAGAACACCGAAAACTGATGTTTACGGAGCAGCATGATCACCCATGCTGTCTTATATGGCACCATATGATAGTGTGGTGAAAACAGTGCAACAGACTCCTGCACACACAGAGAACAAGTTGTGTCTGCTCTTCAGCTTCTGTGAACAAATGTCTGTATAACCTGAATGATGCTATAAATGTTTTTGTTTCTTAAGTGGGTTTTCTAATGTGGAGCTTAGCATTTGTTAACGAGGGTCATGGGAGCTGCTGTGACGTGGCGTGGCGGCGAGATGCTTGCCTGTGGATTGGAAGATTGTGGGTTTGAGTGCTGACGGAGCCGGCCTTTTTTTTTTTGAAATGACCTCGGCTTCCAGCCTTGAGTGGGTACCAGGTATAGTCCTGGGAAATAAAGGCGGCCGACGTGATGTTTGACCACATCACCCACCAAGTACCGATTTGTCTATAATATATTGGTCTAGCCCTATATGCCCAGAACACATAAAGGCATAGAAAAGGGTCCTTGACTTTTGTTTAGTGATGGTGTGAAGAGGGCTTGTTTTATAATCAACAATAAATAAAATAGTTTTACGGAATAATTGTTCAGGAACCCAAAGCTAGCTGGATTGAATGGCACAGTTTACTTACTCCTGTGTGGCAGTTTATTTGCAGGTGAGTGCTTCCTGTGGCTTGTATTTCAAGAGTGAGTGTATGACATTGTCAATGGAAATACAGTTGGCTTTCCTTTTATTTGAGGTAGAAGATGGTTGTGATCTAGGTAATCTCCAACTCCTGTCACCACCATACTAGTTGTCTTAGAATAGATTTTTAGTGGAATGACTCAAACCTGTGGCAGTTGTGTTAGTACAGGATCTCCTTGTGTGCACACAGATACCTCTTCATCAGTGCCCCAGTTTCTACCCAGAGATGACACGAAGAAGCTGCTAAAAGAGAGTGCCCACACTCCATGCCGTTGATGAGAACCCTCATGGGTGTACTAGCAGATGTCACACGCTAAAGATGTTTGTTTTATGTATAGGTTTTCCTGTTAGAACATTTAGCCAAGACAAGCCTTTGAGGTCTGTTTTTTTGTATTTGCGAAAGAACCGTACAACACATGGGTCTTCCTTGATTTGTGTTTGTGTCTAAAAAAGCTGGTGACCCATCCATTATAATATGTTAGGAATGAAAATGCATTTGTAAACATGTAGTATGATTTGAACCCCAGCTTCTCAATGTGAGCTTATGCCTACGACATCATGAAAGCTTGTGTCATTTGAATGGCTTGTCTTATTGTGTCATCCTAAGCTTATGCCTACGACGTCATGAAAGCTTGTGTCATTTGAATGGCCTGTCTTATTGTGTCATCATAAGCTTATGCCTACGACGTCATGAAAGCTTGTGTCATTTGAATGGCTTGTCTTATTGTGTCATCCTAAGCTTATGCCTAGGACGTCATGAAAGCTTGTGTCATTTGAATGGCCTGTCTTATTGTGTCATCGTTAGCTTGTGTGTGTGTGGAAGAATTACCTGACTGTGTTTATGTGGATGTTAGTTTCTGTCTGATTAAATGACCTGTCTGTGTTTATGTGGATGTTAGTTTCTGTCTGATTAAATGACCTGACTGTATTTATGTGGATGTTAGTTTCTGTCTGATTAAATGACATGACTGTGTTTATGTGGATGTTAGTTTCTGTCTAATTAAATAACATGACTGTGTTTATGTGGATGTTAGTTTCTGTCTGATTAAATGACCTGTCTGTGTTTATGTGGATGTTAGTTTCTGTCTGATTAAATGACCTGTCTGTGTTTATGTGGATGTTAGTTTCTGTCTGATTAAATGACCTACCTGTATTTATGTGGATGTTAGTTTCTGTCTGATTAAATGACCTGTCTGTATTTATGTGGATGTTAGTTTCTGTCTGATTAAATGACCTGTCTGTGTTTATGTGGATGTTAGTTTCTGTCTGATTAATTAAATGACCTACCTGTGTTTATGTGGAAAATTTCACTTACTAAATTGTAAATTTGATTGTCAAAATGAAATTGTAATAGATGTGTTTCTGCAGGGTTGCAGGCTGCTGCATTCTCTCGCCTGTTTGATGTGGGGCCATTTGACAAGCATGCTGGGATATCTGTGACCACAGGAAAGAAGCCATGAATATTCTCTTACACTTTCCAGAGACAAACTTTTTACACACGGTTGTCACCCTGTATGACAGACCATGTGTGTCAACATTGTTACTGTCCAGTTTCCGGAGACAAACTTTCTACAGTGTTGTCACCTCGTATGGCAGGCCATGTGTATCAATATTACGTTCTGGGAACAACTGGTTAGACTGAGAAATGTCATCAGTCAACAACACGATGGATTGAACAGCAGTAAAGCTGTAAGAGTACAATGAGTAAATTGAGACAAACAGAAAGTAGAGTGGTCAGCTTTACAGGAAGTTTATCATAAGTAGTGACAGAGTGACTGCTGCAAGTAGACAACCTTCATCAGCATAGAACAACCACAAACAGATCACTAATGCAGCACAACAACTACAGACAAGTCCCATAACTGATATACTTCAGGTTTCAGATGTCACAGACTCAGTTTGTACATCTGTGCTAGCAGTGTCATGTGATAACGTCTGTGAGGGATTCATCTGTGCTAGCAGTGTCATGTGATAACGTCTGTGAGGGATTCATCTGTGCTAGCAGTGTCATGTGATAACGTCTGTGAGGGATTCATCTGTGCTAGCAGTGTCATGTGATTTATCCCATTAGCCGCAAACCAAATGGCATGAAGTAGGCATGGCAGAGAGATTTATATTCTTCTTGATAGTAATGTTTATGAAACAGAATCTACAGATTCAGCTGTGATATTCACTATGGCATGTTTAATATTCATGTTGCAGCTTGACTAAGTTTACAAAGTGACATGGGATATTTGTAGTGTTTGATCAGAAACTTTTAGCATGAGAACAGTGTAGGCAGGACAGCATTTACCTGAAGGGGACACAGCTGACAGTCAATTTTCTTGAAGGGAACACACAGATAACAGTCAATTTTCTTGAAGGGAACACACAAATGATAGTAAATTTTCTTGAAGGGACACACAGATGACAGTCAATTTTCTTGAAGGGACATACAGATGAAAGTCAATTTTCTTGAAGGGAACACACAGATAACAGTCATTTTTCTTGAAGGGAACACACAGATGACAGTCAATTTTCTTGAAGGGACATACAGATGAAAGTCAATTTTCTTGAAGGGACACACAGATGACAGTCAATTTTCTTGAAGGGAACACACAGATGACCGTCAACTTTTCTTGAAGGGACACACAGATGACAGTCAACTTTTCTTGAAGGGACACACAGATGACAGTCAATTTTCTTGAAGGGACACACAGATGACAGTCAATTTTCTTGAAGGAAACACACAGATGACCGTCAATTTTCTTGAAGGGAACACACAGATGACCGTCAACTTTCTTGAAGGGACACACAGATGACAGTCAGCTTTTCTTGAAGGGACACACATATGACAGTCAACTTTCCTGAAGGGACACACATATGACAGTCAACTTTCTTGAAGGGACACACAGATGACAGTCAGCTTTCTTGAAGGGACAGCACAGATGACAGTCAGCTTTCTTGAAAGGACAGCCGTCAGATGACATTTAAATTTCTCAACTTTCTTGAAGGTAAAGTCAGATGACAGTCAACTTTTGTCTGAGACAAGTAAAAATGAAATAACGGGTGCTGTCAGAAAATGTGCAGTTAAAACACAACCTGGAATTTATTGGTTTAATGTTGTTGACAACTGCAGGCAACTGTCTTTCACAATAACAGCCATCCATAATTATATTTTATCTGTGATTTCTGAAACCAAATGTTCATGATCTAATAAAAGCAAATATTGAAAAGAAAAACACACACACATCCTGGTTAAATAAGTCAACAGGGATGAGTGTGTGAGTGGCAAGCATATAATTTCAGCAGCTGACACCAACATGTCATTAACTTCTCCCCTCTGTCTCATCTAGAACTGCCCTTGAATATAATAACAGTATTCAATTACTAGATTTCTTCACTCTGTTTCATCTAGAACTACCTCAGAATATAGCAGCAGTATTCTGTAACTATTTCTCCTCTCCAGTAGCAGAGAACAATTTCATCTGCTGTTGCTGTTTGTTTCTCTAAAATGTGAAGCTGTTCAATCCAGTCTCAAACATTGTTCAAGTACACAAGAAGAAAAATGAGACTTGATGAAACCACCATAAGGGGGGAAGTGGCTTTACTTGAAGAAACCACCATAAGGGGGGAAAGTGGCTTTACTTGATGAAACCACCATAAGAAGGGAAAGTGGCTTTACTTGATGAAACCACCATAAAGGGGGAAAGTGGCTTTACTCGATGAAACCACCATAAGAGAGAAAAGTGGCTTTACTTGATGAAATTAAACCACCATAAGGGGGAAAAGTGGCTTTACTTGATGAAACCACCATAAGGGGAAAAAGTGGCTTTACTTGATGAAATTAAACAACCATAAGGGGGAAAATTTGGCTTTACTTGATGAAATTAAACCACCATAAGGGGGAAAAGTGGCTTTACTTGATGAAACCACCATAAGAGAGAAAAGTGGCTTTACTTGATGAAATTAAACCACCATAAGGGGGAAAAGTGGCTTTACTTGATGAAACCACCATAAGAGAGAAAAGTGGCTTTACTTGATGAAATTAAACCACCATAAGAGAGAAAAGTGGCTTTACTTGATGAAATTAAACAACCATAAGGGGGAAAAGTGGCTTAACTTGATGAAACCACCATAAGGGGAAAAGTGGCTTTACTTGATGAAACCACCATAAGGGGGAAAAGTGGCTTAACTTGATGAAACCACCATAAGGGGGAAAAGTGGCTTTACTTGATGAAACCACCATAAGGGGAAAAAGTGGCTTTACTTGATGAAATTAAACAACCATAAGGGGGAAAAGTGGCTTTACTTGATGAAATTAAACCACCATAAGGGGGAAAAGTGGCTTTACTTGATGAAACCACCATAAGGGGGAAAAGTGGCTTTACTTGATGAAACCACCATAAGGGGGAAAAGTGGCTTTACTTGATGAAACCACCATAAGGGAGAAAAGTGGCTTTACTTGATGAAATTAAACAACCATAAGAGTAAAAAGTGACTTTACTTGATTAAATGAAACAACTGTAAGAGGGAAAAAGGGACTTTACTTGATTAAATGAAACAACTGTAAGAGGGAAAAAGTGACTTTACTTGATTAAATGAAACAACTGTAAGAGGGAAAAAGGGACTTTACTTGATTAAATGAAACAACTGTAAGAGGGAAAAAGGGACTTTACTTTATTAAATGAAACAACTGAGAGGGAAAATGGGACTTTACTTGATTAAATGAAACAACTGTAAGAGGGAAAAGGGACTTTACTTGATGTATTGAAGTCACTGTAAGAGGGAAAAGGGACTTTACTTGATGAATTGAAGCCACTGTAAGATGGAAAAAGTGACTTTAATCAATGCAATGAAAGCACTGTAGGGGCAAATAGTGACAGTACTTGATGAAATGAAACAACAAATGAAGGAATGGTTAAAGGCACACTGGTGTGAGTACAATTCACAGGAAGACACCTCCAAGCAATGGCTAGGTGGCTGTACATTCAAGTATGTCAACACAGGAAGCACGGCAAGATGTGCACCAGTCAGGCTAACTGTCCTGACAAGATGTGCATCAGCTGGGCTAACTGTCCTGCAGGAGGCCTGACAAGATGTGTATCAGCTGGGCTAACTGTCCTGCAGGAGGCCTGACAAGATGTGCATCAGCTGGGCTTACTGTCCTGACAAGATGTGCATCAGCTGGGCTAACTGTCCTGACAAGATGTGCATCAGCTGGGCTAACTGTCCTGCAGGAGGCCTGACAAGATGTGCATCAGCTGGGCTAACTGTCCTGACAAGATGTGCATCAGCCGGGCTAACTGTCCTGACAAGATGTGCATCAGCTGGGCTAACTGTCCTGACAAAATGTGCATCAGCTGGGCTAACTGTCCTACAGGAGGCCTGACAAGATGTGCATCAGCTGGGCTAACTGTCCTACAGGAGGCCTGACAAGATCTGCATCAGTCGGGCTAACTGTCCTACAGGAGGGTTGACAAGATGTGCATCGGCCTACAGGAGGCTGACAAGATGTGCATTGGCCTACAGGAGGCCTGACAAGATGTGCATCGGCCTACAGGAGGCCTGACAAGATGTGCAGCCGGGTTAACCAGCCATGCAGAGATGAAATAAGACACAAATCAAGGAATGACAGTAATGCATGCAATATCACACAAGAAAAATATAGTTATGAGGATAATTTTACATCATAAATGTGTTCACTGAAATATCTACACAAATAATCATCAACACACAATGCATAGTTGAACACTGTGGAGGCATACAATGTAGTCTATTATGCTAAGTTAATGTTACTTGCTCAAACATCTTTACTTGGCTCTCTCACTGTCTCAGGGATCTTAACTTGTGTACACCAGCCACACACAACTGACAGGTAGACTCAGGGATCTTAACTTGTGTACACCAGCCACACACAACTGACAGGTAGACTCAGGGATCTTAACTTGTGTACACCAGCCACACACAACTGACAGGTAGACTCAGGGATCTTAACTTGTGTACACCAGCCACACACAACTGACAGGTAGACTCAGGGATCTTAACTTGTGTACACCAGCCACACACAACTTACAGGTAGACTCAGGGATCTTAACTTGTGTACACCAGCCACACACAACTGACAGGTAGACTCAGGGATCTTAACTTGTGTACACCAGCCACACACAACTGACAGGTAGACTCAGGGATCTTAACTTGTGTACACCAGCCACACACAACTGACAGGTAGACTCAGGGATCTTAACTTGTGTACACCAGCCACACACAACTGACAGGTAGACTCAGGGATCTTAACTTGTGTACACCAGCCACACACAACTGACAGGTAGCTGACCAAACAGGAATCTCTTTAGTGTTCACATAAAAACTATCTGCAAACTAAATATGGTGATGATGACGAGTCCCTGTGGCTGTTGTGAGTGTGGATGTCAATGTTGGACAATAAGGCAACAGAGTAAACTTACAACAGTAGCAGCTGGATCTACTGCAGGCAATATAGTAGACCTAGAACAGTACCAGCTGAATCTACTGCAGGCAATATTAGACCTAGAACAGTACCAGCTGAATCTACTGCAGGCAATATTAGACCTAGAACAGTACCAGCTGAATCTACTGCAGGCAATATTAGACCTAGAACAGTACCAGCAGAATCTATTACAGGCAACAGTAGGACTAGAACAGTACCAGCTGAATCTACTGCAGGCAACAGAGTAAACCTGGAATGGTACCAGCTGAATCTACTGCAGGCAACAGAGTAAACCTGGAATGGTACCAGCTGAATCTAACACAGGCAACAGTAGGCCTAGAACAGTACCAGCTGAATCTACTGTAGGCAACAAGAGTAAACCTGGGATGGTACCAGCTGGATCTACTGCAGGCAACAGAGTAAACCTGGAATGGTACCAGCTGAATCTATCACAGGCAGCAGTAGGCCTAGAACAGTATCAGCTGAATCTACTGTAGGCAACAGAGTAAACCTGGAATGGTACCAGCTGAATCTATCACAGGCAACAGTAGGCCTAGAACAGTACCAGCTGAATCTACTGTAGGCAACAGAGTAAACCTGGAATGGTACCAGCTGAATCTATCACAGGCAACAGTAGACCTAGAACAGTACCAGCTGAATCTACCACAGGCAACAGTAGACCTAGAATAGTATCAGCTGAATCAACCCAACTGTACTAGTCTGACTTTCAAAACAAAAGTACCAATGGCACTATACCATCTAGAATAATGACTCGCTGCCAGTTCATACACACATCTTTATGGCAGATGTGTTTCTGAATGACCCATGATACAATGTACTGGTTAACATACACACATTTCTAGTTAAATGAACCACAAGATTCCACTTCTCAGCACTGAAATACAGTCACTGATTCTGTTTACAGGAAAAACAGTAAGTCATTCAAAACATCAAAGCACAATCACACTTTTTTTTTTCACAACACCCACATGTTATCATTCATTCACTCATTCATTTCACCACATCCACATGTAATCAATCATTCATTCACCCCACCACATCTTCATGTAATCTTTCACTAACCTAACCACGTCTACACATAATAATCCATTCACCACACATGACCCACGTGTAGCAGTCTATTCAATGATACATCTCACAGATACACTGTCATCCATTCACATGACAATACCCACACACAATCTTTCTTTCATTTCACATGTATAAGTTCAGCAACAACATTTATCCACTACCACACCAGACTCCAGTGACAAGAGAGATCATGTTCACAGCTCAACATTCATCCACTACCACACCAGACACCAGTGACGAGAGAGATCGTGTTCACAGCTCAACATGATTAAACAAACCATCATCATCTGCATGTTTTAAAATGGGACAGAACAATGTAGACTCAACCTGAAACAGAGAGAAAAAAAACACACAATGGCTTAGAAGCAAACATTAAACAATGTATACTAACTGCTGCTAACACTGGTATACTAATTGCTGCTAACACTGGTATACCAACTGCTGCTAACACTGGTATACTAACTGCTGCTAACACTGGTATACCAACTGCTGCTAACACTGGTATACTAAACAGCCTTAAAAGTCTATAGTTGAGCACCAGCAAGAAGATAGCACCCTTGGATGTGAGTCATGGAGTATCTCCCATCTTCCCTGTAGCAACATACAGATGTGAGTCATGGAGTATCTCCCATCTTCCCTGTAGCAACATACAGATGTGAGTCATGGAGTATCTCCCATCTTCCCTGTAGCAACATACGGATGTGAGTCATGGAGTATCTCCCATCTTCCCTGTAGCAACATACAGATGTGAGTCATGGAGTATCTCCCATCTTCCCTGTAGCAACATACAGATGTGAGTCATGGAGTATCTCCCATCTTCCCTGTAGCAACATACAGATGTGAGTCATGGAGTATCTCCCATCTTCCCTGTAGCAACATACAGATGTGAGTCATGGAGTATCTCCCATCTTCCCTGTAGCAACATACGGATGTGAGTCATGGAGTATCTCCCATCTTCCCTGTAGCAACATACAGATGTGAGTCATGAAGTATCTCCCATCTTCCTTGTAGCAACATACAGATGTGAGTCATGGAGTATCTCCCATCTTCCCTGTAGCAACATACAGATGTGAGTCATGGAGTATCTCCCATCTTCCCTGTAGCAACATACGGATGTGAGTCATGGAGTATCTCCCATCTTCCCTGTAGCAACATACAGATGTGAGTCATGGAGTATCTCCCATCTTCCCTGTAGCAACATGGGATGTGAGTCATGGAGTATCTCCCATCTTCCCTGTAGCAACATACGGATGTGAGTCATGGAGTATCTCCCATCTTCCCTGTAGCAACATACGGATGTGAGTCATGGAGTATCTCCCATCTTCCCTGTAGCAACATACGGATGTGAGTCATGGAGTATCTCCCATCTTCCCTGTAGCAACATACAGATGTGAGTCATGGAGTATCTCCCATCTTCCCTGTAGCAACATGGGATGTGAGTCATGGAGTATCTCCCATCTTCCCTGTAGCAAACATACGGATGTGAGTCATGGAGTATCTCCCATCTTCCCTGTAGCAACATACGGATGTGAGTCATGGAGTATCTCCCCATCTTCCCTGTAGCAACATACAGATGTGAGTCATGGAGTATCTCCCATCTTCCCTGTAGCAACATGGGATGTGAGTCATGGAGTATCTCCCATCTTCCCTGTAGCAACATGGGATGTGAGTCATGGAGTATCTCCCATCTTCCCTGTAGCACCATGGGATGTGAGTCATGGAGTATCTCCCATCTTCCCTGTAGCAACATGGGATGTGAGTCATGGAGTATCTCCCATCTTCCCTGTAGCAACATGGGATGTGAGTCATGGAGTATCTCCCATCTTCCCTGTAGCACCATGGGATGTGAGTCATGGAGTATCTCCCATCTTCCCTGAGGCAACATGGGATGTGAGTCATGGAGTATTTCCCATCTTCCCTGTAGCAACATACAGATGTGAGTCATGGAGTATCTCCCATCTTCCCTGTAGCAACATACAGATGTGAGTCATGGAGTATCTCCCATCTTCCCTGTAGCAACATACAGATGTGAGTCATGGAGTATCTCCCATCTTCCCTGTAGCAACATACGGATGTGAGTCATGGAGTATCTCCCATCTTCCCTGTAGCAACATACAGATGTGAGTCATGGAGTATCTCCCATCTTCCCTGTAGCAACATACAGATGTGAGTCATGGAGTATCTCCCATCTTCCCTGTAGCAACATACAGATGTGAGTCATGGAGTATCTCCCATCTTCCCTGTAGCAACATACAGATGTGAGTCATGGAGTATCTCCCATCTTCCCTGTAGCAACATACAGATGTGAGTCATGGAGTATCTCCCATCTTCCCTGTAGCAACATACAGATGTGAGTCATGGAGTATCTCCCATCTTCCCTGTAGCAACATACAGATGTGAGTCATGGAGTATCTCCCATCTTCCCTGTAGCAACATACGGATGTGAGTCATGGAGTATCTCCCATCTTCCCTGTAGCAACATACAGATGTGAGTCATGGAGTATCTCCCATCTTCCCTGTAGCAACATGGGATGTGAGTCATGGAGTATCTCCCATCTTCCCTGTAGCAACATACGGATGTGAGTCATGGAGTATCTCCCATCTTCCCTGTAGCAACATACGGATGTGAGTCATGGAGTATCTCCCATCTTCCCTGTAGCAACATACGGATGTGAGTCATGGAGTATCTCCCATCTTCCCTGTAGCAACATACAGATGTGAGTCATGGAGTATCTCCCATCTTCCCTGTAGCAACAACATGGGATGTGAGTCATGGAGTATCTCCCATCTTCCCTGTAGCAACATACGGATGTGAGTCATGGAGTATCTCCCATCTTCCCTGTAGCAACATACAGATGTGAGTCATGGAGTATCTCCCATCTTCCCTGTAGCAACATGGGATGTGAGTCATGGAGTATCTCCCATCTTCCCTGTAGCAACATGGGATGTGAGTCATGGAGTATCTCCCATCTTCCCTGTAGCAACATGGGATGTGAGTCATGGAGTATCTCCCATCTTCCCTGTAGCACAGTCATCTATCTCCCATCTTCCCTGTGTAGCAACATGGGATGTGAGTCATGGAGTATCTCCCATCTTCCCTGTAGCAACATGGGATGTGAGTCATGGAGTATCTCCCATCTTCCCTGTAGCACCATGGGATGTGAGTCATGGAGTATCTCCCATCTTCCCTGAGGCAACATGGGATGTGAGTCATGGAGTATTTCCCATCTTCCCTGTAGCAACATACAGATGTGAGTCATGGAGTATCTCCCATCTTCCCTGTAGCAACATACAGATGTGAGTCATGGAGTATCTCCCATCTTCCCTGTAGCAACATACAGATGTGAGTCATGGAGTATCTCCCATCTTCCCTGTAGCAACATACGGATGTGAGTCATGGAGTATCTCCCATCTTCCCTGTAGCAACATACAGATGTGAGTCATGGAGTATCTCCCATCTTCCCTGTAGCAACATACAGATGTGAGTCATGGAGTATCTCCCATCTTCCCTGTAACAACATACGGATGTGAGTCATGGAGTATCTCCCATCTTCCCTGTAGCAACATACGGATGTGAGTCATGAAGTATCTCCCATCTTCCCTGTAGCAACATATGGATGTGAGTTGTGGACTATCTCCCATCTTTCCTGTAGCAACATACAGATGTGAGTCATGGAGTATCTCCCATCTTCCCTGTAGCAACATACGGATGTGAGTCATGAAGTATCTCCCATCTTCCCTGTAGCAACATACAGATGTGAGTCATGGAGTATCTCCCATCTTCCCTGTAGCAACATATGGATGTGAGTTGTGGACTATCTCCCATCTTTCCTGTAGCAACATACAGATGTGAGTCATGGAGTATTTCCCATCTTCCCTGTAGCAACACACGGATGTGAGTCATGAAGTATCTCCCATCTTCCCTGTAGCAACATACAGATGTGAGTCATGGAGTATCTCCCATCTTCCCTGTAGCAACATACAGATGTGAGTCATGGAGTATCTCCCATCTTCCCTGTAGCAACATACAGATGTGAGTCATGGAGTATCTCCCATCTTCCCTGTAGCAACATACAGATGTGAGTCATGGAGTATCTCCCATCTTCCCTGTAGCAACATACAGATGTGAGTCATGGAGTATCTCCCATCTTCCCTGTAGCAACATACAGATGCGAGTCATGGAGTATCTCCCATCTTCCCTGTAGCAACATACGGATGTGAGTTGTGTACTATCTCCCAGTCTTTAAGGAAGAAAATGGGGGTTTTCTGGCTAAAATGTTATTGAAAGATTCTCAGAATATCAAAGAAGAGAAGAATTCTTAAAAGATACTGATTGGCTAATAAAACAGCATCTTGTCCTCAAAAGGTGAAATATTTTGGTCATATCATCTGACATTCTAAAAGACCTGATCATCAACGGAGATTGGCAAATAAACAGCATCTTGTCTCAAAAGCTGAAATATTTTGGTCATATCAAGAGCCACTGCGGATCAGAAAAAATGATAGCAGTAGGCATGGTACCAGGATGAAGGGCACAGAATATAGGTGAATCTTTTGGTATAAAAGTGCAGGAGGTGGGAGAGTTAGTTTCTTTCAGGCACACTGTGATGAGAGCGACTTTCTGCAAAGACATGATGATGATGAATACTTGCATGATAGCAGTTAAATCTTTGAATTCTACTTGAACCCTACAAGGGAGTCTCAGGTGATCTCTGTCAGGTTCCTGTATGGGTTCCGGGGTCCTGTATGGGTTCTGGGGTCGGAGATCAGACTCACCGGTCCTTACAGACATGTTCTCAAAGGTGACTAATTCAGGGTTTGCTGAAAGCCACAGATATCACAGCCTAGCTATAAACCACAACATGCCAACAGTCCTTTCAAGGGCGAATGCACAAAATTTGACACTTTGAGTTAAACACGCGACGCAGGTTCTGTATCACACTGTACTTACAGTTAAAATATACCAGAGAGACTGAGATTATTTTCTTATCACACTGTACTGGTACTTACAGTCAACACAAAACTCAGGTTATCTGTGTGTCATATTGTACTGGTACAGTCAACATATAACTCAGGTTATCTGTGTGTCGTATTGTACTGGTACAGTCAATATATAACTCATGTTATCTGTGTGTCATATTGTACTGGTGCAGTCAACACAAAACTCAGGTTATCTCTGTGTCATATTGTAGTGGTACAGTCAACATATAACTCAGGTTATCTCTGTGTCATATTGTAGTGGTACAGTCAACATATAACTCAGGTTATCTCTGTGTCATATTGTAGTGGTACAGCCAACATATAACTCAGGTTATCTCTGTGTCATATTGTACTGGTGCAGTCAACATATAACTCAGGTTATCTCTGTGTCATATTGCAGTGGTACAGCCAACATATAACTCAGGTTATCTCTGTGTCATATTGTAGTGGTACAGTCAACATATAACTCAGGTTATCTCTGTGTCACGTGGTACTGGTACTTACAGTTAAAACATAACTCAGGTTATCTCTGTGTCACGTGGTACTGGTACTTACAGTTAAAACCTACTGGCACGACTCAGGTTATTTCTGTGTCACATGGTACTGGTACTTACAGCTAAAACATAACTCAGGTTATCTCTGTATCACGTGGCACTGGTACTTACAGTTAAAACATAACTCAGGTTATCTCTGTATCACGTGGTACTGGTACTTACAGTTAAAACAAACTGGCACGACTCAGGTTATCTCTGTATCACGTGGTACTGGTACTTACAGTTAAAACATAACTCAGGTTATCTCTGTATCACGTGGTACTGGTACTTACAGTTAAAACATAACTCAGGTTATCTCTGTATCACGTGGTACTGGTACTTACAGTTAAAACATACTGGCACGACTCAGGTTCCTCCAACACAAGAACTAATGCATGAGGGTTCCTGAGGTTCTCTATACACCTAGAACAAATATGGTCAGGGTGAATTTGTGGAGCAATGATACAAGTTTAGTGTGTGGAGCAATGATACAAGTTTAGTGTGTGGAGCAATGATACAAGTTTAGTGTGTGGAGCAATGATACAAGTTTAGTGTGTGGAGCAATGATACAAGTTTAGTGCTGGGGGCTGGAGACACACAGTAACAACAGTAACCTGCCCTTGCAGCGCATGGTATTACATTTTCACAAATTACAGTACATACATATAATAAATATAGTTTCATGATAATTTCTTAATTAACTGATTTACCTTAATCATTCGGCAGTGCCAACCTACATTACTTTGATGATGTTATGTCAGAATCCTAGTGATTTATCCTCATCACTGGACAGTGCCTAACTACATTACTTTGATGTTATGTCAGACTCCTTGATTTATCCTCATCAACAGACAGTGCCAACCTACTTTACTTTGATGTTATACCAACTTACATTACTTTGATGTTATACCAACTTACTTTACTTTGATGTTATACCTACTTACATTACTTTGATGTTATGTCAGACTCCTTGATTTATCCTCATGAACAGACAGTGCCAACCTACTTTACTTTGATGTTATACCAACTTACATTACTTTAATGTTATGTAAGAATTCTCCTTGATTTATCCTCATCATCTGTTGGTGTGTAACATTGGATCACATTTTTCCTGTGCAGGGTTCTGGGGCCCCACTGTGTGGGAAAACAAGAATAGACCCACCGCCTCTCTGACAAGCTTGTCATAACAGTTCACTAATTGGAGGCTTCCTCTGAAGTTGGAGTATATCTGTCCAAGAGGCAATGAACAACCAACTGCACACAAAAAAGCCAGTAAAACAGATGTACACACAAAACTCGGATCCTAGCACAAAGCCAAAAAAAAAATGGACAAACAACCAGGATTTTCTGCCGGAGCTCACAGCTGGTAAACAGAGGAGAAGAAGAAGGACCACATTTATGTTTACACTCTCTCTGTCTGTCTGGTCTGTCTCTCTGTGTGTGTGTGTGTGTGTGTGTGCGCGCGCACGCTAAATGTTGCTGTTATTGTTCTAGAACTCACTTTTTCCCAGTTAAGTGACAAAATGGCCAGACACTTCTTCCTGGTAAGTGACAAACTGGCCAGACCAGTGCGACCTCAATATCACACGACAGAATGTAATCATTACAATGGAAACAAATCATTACAGTCAAAATATCAAACTGGTGACTTACTTTAATCTGACTTCACAAGTTCTAGGTTTGCCGGTCAAATCACACACATCGCCATCAGAATAGAAGAGAGAAACATGCCTGTAGGAAGACAAGATAAGACCTCAGTGACAGTCGCAGTTTAGCATGTAAATGTGTCCAATTACAAAACACAAGATAAAACATTCCACCACCAATTCCTCCTCATCCTCTGTGTTTGCCCTTAAGGGAGTAGTCAGGAGATTGTGGTTTACAGCTAGACTGCAAGATCTACTCCTCACATGGTTCTAGGCCCCAGGGTGGGGTGGGGGAAAGAGGGCAGACACACTGGCCCCCTAAACAGAATATTGTAAAAGTCTACTCTCAAGGTTGTTTCCTTAACAGTCGAAGTGCATCTGCCTAAGTGCTGATGAACCAACAGTCTGCATGTGCACACAAAACTCAAGTTCTAGAACAAGACTGAAGCCCAAAGGTGGACACACACACACAAACCCAGAACTTTCCACCGGAGTTTACAGCCAGTCAATGCCAACGAGAAAAAGCAATATGTGAAACTGCTGGCCCAACACGGCAACGATGATCAAAACCTTAATTAATTGTGTTTCCTACATTTTTGTCAAGGAGCAATACCATTCAGACAACAATGGTCAAATAATGAACATACAAATGTCTACAATAACCACTCAACAACCAATAATGAACATACAAGTGTCTACAATAACCACTCAACAACCAAAAAATGTGGCGGTTGGCTTAAAAGTTTTGTAAGATATTCAACTAATTATTTTATTTTAAAAAAAAAACATAAATGTATAAAAAAAAAAAACAAAAAAAAAGAGAAGCAGCAGTGAATGTTAAAAGGTATGGTCTCCTATCCACAGAGCTGTTGTAGCCTGAGTCTAGCAAATGCATGAACACACGTTTTAGCATCCTCCACATCATCTTCCTGTCCTAGGCAGGTGTGTGGATCCTGTCCTGGGCAAGTCTGTGGACCCTGTCCTGGGCAAGTGTGTGGACCCTGTCCTGGGCAAGTGTGTGGATCCTGTCCTGGGCAGGTGTGTGGATCCTGTCCTGGGCAGGTGTGTGGATCCTGTCCTGGGCAAGTCTGTGGACCCTGTCCTGGGCAAGTGTGTGGACCCTGTCCTGGGCAGGTGTGTGGATCCTGTCCTGGGCAGGTGTGTGGATCCTGTCCTGGGCAAGTCTGTGGACCCTGTCCTGGGCAAGTGTGTGGACCCTGTCCTGGGCAAGTGTGTGGATCCTGTCCTGGGCAAGTGTGTGGATCCTGTCCTGGGCAAGTCTGTGGAGCCTGTCCTGGGCAGGTGTGTGGATCCTGTCCTGGGCAAGTGTGTGGACCCTGTCCTGGGCAAGTCTGTGGACCCTGTCCTGGGCAAGTCTGTGGACCCTGTCCTGGGCAAGTCTGTGGACCCTGTCATAGGCAGGTGTGTGGACCCTGTTCTGGGCAGGTGTGTGGACCCTGTCCTGGGCAGGTGTGTGGACCCTGTCCTGGGCAGGTGTGTGGACCCTGTCCTGGGCAAGTGTGGGAACCCTGTCCTAGGCAAGTCTGTGGACCCTGTCCTGGGCAGGTGTGTGGACCCTGTCCTGGGCAAGTGTGTGGACCCTGTCCTGGGCAAGTCTGTGGACCCTGTCCTGGGCAAGTGTGTGGACCCTGTCCTGGGCAAGTGTGTGGACCCTGTCCTGGGCAGGTGTGTGGACCCTGTCCTGGGCAAGTCTGTGGACCCTGTCCTGGGCAAGTGTGTGGGTCCTGTCCTGGGCAAGTCTGTGGGTCCTGTCCTAGGCAAGTGTGTGGATCCTGTCCATGAGCAACAGCCTTCAGTACTAAAGTGTCTGTCTCTAGCTAGCTGTTGACACCTGTCATCACATGACACTGCTGAAATACTCTGTGATTTTCACAATACCCAAGTAATGGCAGTCACCAATCCCAACTAGCCTCCAAGCAACACAACATTGCACTGGAAGTGGTAGGTTGCAATCTTGCTGTAACTATTGTTTTGTATTTTCATATGGTTCAATATTTCCTGTGATCTCTACTAATTTCTTCTTCTTTAACACAATACCTGTCAGACAATACCTGAGACACAATACCTGTCAGACAATACCTGAGACACAATACCTGTCAGACAATACCTGAGACACAATACCTGTCAGACAATACCTGAGACACAATACCTGTCAGACAATACCTGAGACACAATACCTGTCAGACAATACCTGAGACACAATACCTGTCAGACAATACCTGTCAGACAATACCTGAGACACAATATCTGTCAGACAATACCTGAGACACAATACCTGTCAAACAATACCTGTCAGACAATACCTGACAAACAATACCTGAGACACAATACCTGTCAGACAATACCTGAGACACAATACCTGTCAGACAATACCTGAGACACAATACCTGAGACACAATACCTGTCAAACAATACCTGAGACACAATACCTGTCAAACAATACCTGAGACACAATACCTGTCAGACAATACCTGAGACACAATACCTGAGACACAATACCTGTCAGAAAATACTTGACACACAATACCTGTCATGGCGAGGCGCAGACGCCGTCTAGAGGTGACAGGTTCAATTACCAGCACGGTAATTATAGCTTTCGATTTTTATGTTGTCTAGTGTGTTCTTCTATCTTTCTACTTCTTTCTATGAGGGCCGTTCTTAATACTTTCTGTTACTTGATTAATTCATAATACCTGTCAGACAATACCTGAGACACAATACCTGTCAGACAATACCTGAGACACAATACCTGTCAGACAATACCTGAGACACAATACCTGTTAGACAATACCTGAGACACAATACCTGTCAGACAATACGAGTTAACTTACTTCTCATCGAATTTCACACACTAACACATATATTAATTGTCAGCAATAACACATCTTCTGTAAATGACACTTATGGTGTACAAATATTGCTACCCTATTCTTGCTTGTTTTTCTGACAAAAGGAGTGCGTCACACCTAGTTATGCACCTCAGAGGTCAGGAGTGTATCACACCTATCTATACACCTCAAAGGTCAGGAGTGCGTCACACCTATCTATACACCTCAGAGGTCAGGAGTGTGTCACACCTAGCTATACACCTCAGAGGTCAGGAGTGTGTCACACCTAGCTATACACCTCAGAGGTCAGGAGTGTGTCACACCTAGCTATACACCTCAGAGGTCAGGAGTGCGTCACACCTAGCTAACACCTCAGACGTCAGGAGTGTGTCACACCTAGCTATACACCTCAGAGGTCAGGAGTGCGTCACATCTAGCTAACACCTCAGAGGTCAGTTTGCTTGACCTTGCTAGGCATTAATGGAAAATTTACTTCCCTTTCCATGGCAACAGACTCTGTCCACTACAATCTGTTTAGTTAAATCTGACTTTCTGACATCTGTGTACATGACAACAATCACTACAATCTGTTTAGTTAAATCTTACTTTCTGACATCTTTGTACATGACAACAACCACTACAATCTGTTTAGTTAAATCTTACTTTCTGACATCTTTGTACATGACAACAATCACTACAATCTGTTTAGTTAAATCTTACTTTCTGACATCTATGTACATGACAACAATCACTACAATCTGTTTAGTTAAATCTTACTTTCTGACATCTATGTACATGACAACAATCACTACAATCTGTTTAGTTAAATCTTACTTTCTGACATCTGCAGGGCGTGGCTGTTTCTGGGGGTTGTCCTTCAGCCACTGGACATGTTTATCCTTGTTCCAGTAGCCCAGGAAAATGTTGACATCCCTGCCTTTCTCCTGCACACGCCACAAACAGAAGAACACACAAGAGATTACTTGACATCCCTGCCTTTCTCCTGCACACGCCACAAACAGAAGAACACACAACAGATTACTTGACATCCCTGCCTTTCTCCTGCACACGCCACAAACAGAAGAACACACAAGAGATTACTTGACATCCCTGCCTTTCTCCTGCACACGCCACAAACAGACAACACACAAGAGATTACTTGACATCCCTGCCTTTCTCCTGCACACACCACAAACAGAAGAACACACAACAGATTACTTGACATCCCTGCCTTTCTCCTGCACACGCCACAAACAGAAGAACACACAACAGATTACTTGACATCCCTGCCTTTCTCCTGCACACGCCACAAACAGAAGAACACACAACAGATTTCTTGACATCCCTGCCTTTCTCCTGCACACGCCACAAACAGAAAAACACACAAGAGATTACTGAGTGACAACTAAGAAACTTGACGGACAACCCCCCCCACCCCTTTCTAAAAAAAACAACAACAATAGGAAGGCAAAGAAATAACTAGCTGCAAGGCCTAAAAACCTGGTATGCGTGAGACAAGAACGCAGACCTGATCTTTGATTCTGGTGACTGTGTGAGAATGACAAACTATACCTGCAAATGTTGAATTAACATTTGCATCAAAATAAACATGGCACATCTTAATCACAGCTATCTCAATTTTCAGCAAGTTTCAGACTTGTGTAGGGTTCTTATCACTTTAGGTCTTGAGTACAGGAACTAGCCAGCTTGTGCGGCAGAATCAGAAGTTCAACAAATGATTCATGACAATTCCCACCCAGGTGATGTGATTGTCTACACAGATGGCAAATGGATGTTGCTTGAGCAACAAAGCCTGGCATTTGGCATCACTACATCTAGTTTTAGAATGGGGGCAGAATCTGGCTTGAGAATCAGTTGTACACACAAGCTGTGATTGTAACTGACTCACAGAGCATGTGGAGAGAAGCATGCTTCGTTCAGAGTGGCAAGCATCACTTCAGAGGTCCAGGGTAGTTAGCATCCTTTGGATATTTTCTCTAGGCATGCCGGTGTATTGGGAAATGAGCAGGCAGATAGACTGACTGGTTCTGCACTTATTGGTGGTGAAATGATACATGATGAGCCAGATGTTGTGACGGCCCTTTGGGAGCAAGTGAACAGTGCTGAGGTACAGATAGATCATTAAGGTCTGAAGAGAATGGCACTGCGAGGAGTTACCAGGGGATCTGGCCGGCGCTCAACACTCAAGGGAAAGGTGAGACAGATTTACAATAGGCAGTTACTGGTACCATCGGAACTGGAACACTTTGCTTGCTGCTAAAGATGGGGACTGAGCCCTTATGGGAGTGTCCTGAGTGCTATGATATCAATTCTTAATTCAACATTCAGCGTTCTAATGAAGCAAAGCTGCTGGACAGTTTGACATCACAGAATAGATCATCTGTGTCAGAAGTGACTAAAAGTACATGAGACAGTGTGTGTGCCTGCAATTGTGTAGCTGTGTGTGTATGCGCACACCTGCATGTGTGTAACTGTGTGTGGATGCATGAGGAAACAAAGTGGTACTTACACTGTGGAACTGTGTGAATGTATGAGGAAACAAAGTGGTACTTACACTGTGGAACTGTGTCACAAAGCTCCCAAAACAGAGCTCATGCCTCCACCAGCCGGCCCCCTAGAGACAGAGAGAGCAGAACATGTTCCATCACCATGAAGATGAGCATTGACAACACAGAATCTCACCTAGGCTCAGTCTGCCATCAGACATGACAACACAGAATCTCACCTAGACTCAGTCTGCCATCAGACATGACAACACAGAATCCTACCTAGGCTCGTCTGCCATCAGACATGACAACAAAGAATCTCACCTAGGCTTAGTCTGCCATCAGACATGAAAACACAGAATCTCACCTAGGCTCAGTCTGCCATCAGACATGACAACATGAATCTCACCTAGGCTCAGTCTGCCATCAGACATGACAACACAGAATCCTACCTAGGCTCATCTGCCATCAGACATGACAACACGTAATCTCACACACCATCAGACACTACAACCCAGAATCTCACCTAGGCTCAGTCTGCCGTCAGACAGAACAACATGAATTTCACCTAGGCTCAGTCTGTCATCAGACACAACGACATGAATTTCACCTAGGCTCAGTCTGCTGTCAGACATGACAACACAGAATCTCACCTAGGCTCAGTCTGCCATCAGACATGACAACACAGAATCTCACCTAGAAACAAAGTGGTACAGTCTGCCATCAGACATGAATCCCAAAACACACAGAATCCTACCTAGGCTCGTCTGCCATCAGACATGACAACAAAGAATCTCACCTAGGCTTAGTCTGCCATCAGACATGACAACACAGAATCTCACCTAGGCTCAGTCTGCCATCAGACATGACAACATGAATCTCACCTAGGCTCAGTCTGCCATCAGACATGACAACACAGAATCCTACCTAGGCTCATCTGCCATCAGACATGACAACACATAATCTCACCTAGGCTCAGTCTGCCATCAGACACTACAACCCAGAATCTCACCTAGGCTCAGTATGCCATCAGACACAACAACATGAATCTCACCTAGGCTCAGTCTGCCATCAGACATGACAACCCAGAATCTCACCTAGGCTCAGTCTGCCATCAGCAACACAACAACCCAGAATCTCACCTAGGCTCAGTCTGCCATCAGCAACACAACAACCCAGAATCTCACCTAGGCTCAGTCTGCCATCAGCAACACAACAACCCAGAATCTCACCTAGGCCCTCAGTCTGCCATCAGCAACACAACAACCTATGCACACCATTCTATGAGCCAGAGCTACATTCCAGGAGCCATGAATGAATACATGAGCTATGACAATTCACCGCTGAATCCCACAATCCCCTATTCAACAGTACTTAATCAAGGTTATCATGACAACGGTATTCATTCCACTCAGCATAAAAATGAGTTTTACTTTTCCTTGTGGACTGAGGGCGGATGGGGGAAGGGGGGGGGGGGGCAGATTATCACCCCCTCCCCCCATACAAGCAGGTCATTATTAGTGACTAATGAAACCTCTTTCCTCTAAAGTCAGAATACACTTGAGAGGTCACTTGAGAGGTCACTTGAGAGGTCACTGAAGTGGGGAGCAATAAAGATTCTGGATACAAATAAACCAGTTGTGCATGCCACTGAAGTTCTGGAACAAGACCAAAGTCCAGAAGTGGACAAACAACCAGAACTTTCCACAGGGGTTAACAACCGGCAAATGCTAAGAAGAAGAAGAAGAAGAAGAAGAAGACACAGACACGTGACAATATCTGAAGCAAGGAAATGTAGCCAGACAAGGAACTAGCCAACCTACCTCATGAAATGACATGGACCCGGACTATTCAACTCTCGGCCTGCGGACCCAATCTAGCCCGAGGAGGTCTAGCAAGTGGCCCACAGATCACTGCCAGTTGTACTGTATCAATGATCTGTCATGTTGGGGCTGGTGTCTCTGGCCCACAGATCACTGCCAGTTGTACTGTATCAATGATCTGTCATGTTGGGGCTGGTGTCTCTGGCCCACAGATCACTGCCAGCTGTACTGTATCAATGATCTGTCATGTTGGGGCTGGTGTCTCTGGCCCACAGATCACTGCCAGTTGTACTGTATCAATGATCTGTCATGTTGGGGCTGGTGTCTCTGGCCCACAGATCACTGCCAGCTGTACTGTATCAATGATCTGTCATGTTGGGGCTCGTGTCTCTGGCCCACAGATCACTGCCAGTTGTACTGTATCAATGATCTGTCATGTTGGGGCTCGTGTCTCTGGCCCACAGATCACTGCCAGCTGTACTGTATCAATGATCTGTCATGTTGGGGCTGGTGTCTCTGGCCCACAGATCACTGCCAGCTGTACTGTATCAATGATCTGTCATGTTGGGGCTCGTGTCTCTGGCCCACAGATCACTGCCAGTTGTACTGTATCAATGATCTGTCATGTTGGGGCTCGTGTCTCTGGCCCACAACGATGCCCGCTTTCTACATTTTGCTCCCTGAGCAAACTTAGTTGAGTGGCCTTGACCTAGACGAGGCCAAGATCTAACAATTCAGACAGTATTTTCCATAAAGCTATGCTGACCTATCTTCTGTCACACAGTAGTACCAGTCACTGTCTACACCAGACACTGTCTACACCAGACACTGTCTACACCAGACACAGTTCACACCAGTCACTGTCTACACCAGTCAATTTCTACACCAGTCACTGTCTACACCAGTCACTGTCTACACCAGTCACTGTTGTCTACACCAGTCACTGTCTACACCAGACACTGTCTACACCAGACACTGTCTACACCAGTCACTGTCTACACCAGTCACTGTCTACACCAGACACTGTCTACACCAGTCACTGTTTACACCACAGTTTACACCAGTCACTGTCTACACCAGTCACTGTCTACACCAGTCAATTTCTACACCAGTCACTGTCTACACCAGTCACTGTTGTCTACACCAGACACTGTCTACACCAGTCAATTTCTACACCAGTCACTGTCTACACCAGACACTGTCTACACCAGTCACTGTCTACACCAGACACACTTTACACCAGTCACTGTTGTCTACACCAGTCACTGTCTACACCAGTCACTGTCTACACCAGACACTGTCTACACCAGACACTGTCTACACCAGTCAATTTCTACACCAGTCACTGTCTACACCAGTCACTGTCTACACCAGTCACTGTTGTCTACACCAGTCACTGTCTACACCAGACACTGTCTACACCAGTCACTGCTACACCAGACACTGTCTACACCAGACACTGTCTACACCAGTCACTGTCTACACCAGTCACTGTCTACACCAGTCACTGTCTACACCAGACACTGTCTACACCAGACACTGTCTACACCAGTCACTGTCTACACCAGTCACTGTCTACACCAGTCACTGTCTACACCAGACACTGTCTACACCAGTCACTGTCTACACCAGACACTGTCTACACCAGTCACTGTCTACACCAGACACTGTCTACACCAGACACTGTCTACACCAGACACTGTCTACACCAGTCACTGTCTACACCAGTCACTGTCTACACCAGACACTGTCTACACCAGACACTGTCTACACCAGTCACTGTCTACACCAGACACTGTCTACACCAGTCACTGTCTACACCAGACACTGTCTACACCAGACACTGTCTAAACCAGACACTGTCTACACCAGACACTGTCTACACCAGTCACTGTCTACACCAGTCACTGTCTACACCAGACACTGTCTACACCAGTCACTGTCTACACCAGTCACTGTCTACACCAGTCACTGTCTACACCAGTCAATTTCTACACCAGTCACTGTCTACACCAGTCACTGTCTACACCAGACACTGTCTACACCAGTCACTGTCTACACCAGTCACTGTCTACACCAGTCACTGTCTACACCAGACACTGTCTACACCAGACACTGTCTACACCAGACACTGTCTACACCAAACACTGTCTACACCAGACACTGTCTACACCAGTCACTGTCTACACCAGACACTGTCTACACCAGTCACTGTCTACACCAGTCACTGTCTACACCAGTCACTGTCTACACCAGACACTGTTTACACCAGTCACTGCTGCAGAAAAGTGACACTTCTGCATGTTATGCACCAATGCTGAAAGGTCCAGGAAACTCATGGTGAAGTCAAGAACAAACCACAAAGTAGCAGGAAGCATGCTGCCTTCCACAGATAAGTCACCCTTCCAAAAACGGGTAAAATAAACAAGGAGACAGACACCCAGAATGATGACCTAAAAAATAAAAGCAACACAGACTGAGAGAGAGGACATCATAAATGATGACAAAACAACCAACACCTCTAGAATAGTGGAATAGACTGGAGTTTCCGGGTTACCCTATGTTTGGGGTCGTTTAACTGAATTGTACCATAATTTATTTTCAGCAGCTTTTTAAAATTTTTGTATTCCTAGTTTCCGCAAAACATATTTATGTTTTTGTTTCCACATGAAACATAAGCTAGTCTCCTGACATCCTCTCAGGTCCTCTCATGTGCCTGTCTAACTATTAGAAACTGGCTCCCAAGTGGAGAGATGAGGACCCCCAAACAAGGCACTAGCTGTGACAGCCCCTGGTGGCCATGCCATTTCATGGTTCAGCACAAACAGAGGAAGAGAACAAGACTGAGTGCTACATCATCAGTCCAGCCCTGATGCCAGTCAAACATGTACATCAGTCCAGCCCTGACTCCAGTCAAACATGTACATCAGTCCAGCACTGACCCCAGTCAAACATGTACATCAGTCCCACACTGACCTCAGTCAAACATGTACATCAGTCCAGCCCTGATGCCAGTCAAACATGTACATCAGTCCAGCCCTGACTCCAATCAAACATGTACATCAGTCCAGCACTGACCCCAGTCAAACATGTACATCAGTCCCACACTGACCTCAGTCAAACATGTACATCAGTCCCACACTTACCCCAATCAAGCATTGACTACCAGTGAGGAAACCCCGTAAAGTCTGCTTGTCTGTGACAGCTCCAAGTGCCGACTGCTGGTCTGGTTGTACACTGGGCTCACCCACCTGGCCACTGATGACCGGCTGCTTGCGATGCAGCTTGTTCTGTCTACTGGAACCTGGAGCTTCAGTGGAAGTTGACTGCATGATGTAGTCCTGTATGAGAGTATCACTGTGTTGTTGGTTATGTCCACATGGCTAAAGCACATTTTGGTGATGGTAGAGAATTTCAGCTCTTGAAACAACGGTCAATCACAAATAGGTAGAAGATGCTGAGGTCTCAGAGATGTGGTTTTACAGAAGAAACAGCAACATTCCGTGGACAACCAAAAAGAGCAACGCAGACATTTTGAAGTAGGTGGGGGCCTGAAGAGAACTTATCTCAAACATCAGAAAGAGACAGTCATCCTTTGTGGGTCATGTTATGAGGAAAAAAGGAAACTGTAACATGTTCTGGAAGCCAGGAAGAGACAGTTACATTTGTGGGTCATGTTATGAGAAGATTTGATGTGATTCAAGAACCAACATCACAGCACTCGGGGCACTCCCATAAGCACTCCATCCCCATCTTCAGCAGCCAGCGAAGATTTCCGATCCTAATGATGCCAGTAGCATTCTGATTAAACGTCCGTCTTGCCTTTCCTCTGAGCCTCGAGCATCTGCCAGAGTTATGAGAAGAAGGAGACTGTAACATGTTGTGACTGCTAGAAAGAGGCAGTCAACATTTGTGGGTCATGTTATGAGAAGAAGGAGACTGTAACATGTTGTGACTGCCAGAAAGAGACAGTCAACATTTGTGGGTCATGTTATGAGAAGAAGGAGACTGTAACATGTTGTGACTGCCAGAAAGAGGCAGTCAACATTTGTGGGTCATGTTATGAGAAGAAGGAGACTGTAACATGTTGTGACTGCCAGAAAGAGGCAGTCAACATTTGTGGGTCATGTTATGAGAAGAAGGAGACTGTAACATGTTGTGACTGCCAGAAAGAGGCAGTCAACATTTGTGGGTCATGTTATGAGAAGAAGGAGACTGTAACATGTTGTGACTGCTAGAAAGAGGCAGTCAACATTTGTGGGTCATGTTATGAGAAGAAGGAGACTGTAACATGTTGTGACTGCCAGAAAGAGGCAGTCAACATTTGTGGGTCATGTTATGAGAAGAAGGAGACTGTAACATGTTGTGACTGCCAGAAAGAGGCAGTCAACATTTGTGGGTCATGTTATGAGAAGAAGGAGACTGTAACATGTTGTGACTGCCAGAAAGAGGCAGTCAACATTTGTGGGTCATGTTATGAGAAGAAGGAGACTGTAACATGTTGTGACTGCCAGAAAGAGGCAGTCAACATTTGTGGGTCATGTTATGAGAAGAAGGAGACTGTAACATGTTGTGACTGCCAGAAAGAGGCAGTCAACATTTGTGGGTCATGTTATGAGAAGAAGGAGACTGTAACATGTTGTGACTGCTAGAAAGAGGCAGTCAACATTTGTGGGTCATGAGAAGAAGGAGACTGTAACATGTTGTGACTGCCAGAAAGAGGCAGTCAATATTTGTGGGTCATGTTATGAGAAGAAGGAGACTGTAACATGTTGTGACTGCTAGAAAGAGGCAGTCAACATTTGTGGGTCTTGTTATGAGAAGAAGGAAACTGTAACATGTTGTGACTGCCAGAAAGGTCTGTGGAAAAAGGGGAAGACACATGAGACAATTCTTGATAGCCTTTTGTTAATGGCAAGGAAAGGTGTCAACACATCAACTGATACATGATGTTTAAGAGTGCAGATCGTGGAGAGGCATGATCAGCCAAGTCTTCTGTTTCGCTGTTTTAAATGACCCTCTTCTTATTTCAAGACTCATGGCTTCCTATTCATATACCCTCTGTGCTTCTTTCATAGCATCAGGGCCGCTCCTTCACTACATGGAAAATGTTTCCTCTGTATGAAAAAAAGAAAATAATTTACCCTGAATTTAGAAAACTCTCCACCCCCAAAATCTAGTTTTGCACAATCCTGTAAAATTTCAGTTACCTTAATACCTCCATTGTTCTTCCTACATTCTACAAAGTTCTAATTTTCCAGGTGCAAATTCTGGAAATGTCCTAAGTGAAAGTAGGATCCGGACTCCCTTGAGCTTTCTTCGCACTGTCATAATTCTTGGATCAAAAAAGCCTCAGATTAACTTCATTGGCTGGGTTTTTATTGTTTTCATGTCTGACTTATCCATGGTTGGTTGGTTTCCGTGGCTATTGTTTTTACAGGATGAGGTATCCAACCCCAACCCTACCTTTAATTGCCTGTAACAATATGCCTGGTAGGACGCAGCGCTGCTTCCCGTGAGGGCAGTGGTGACCGTGACACGCGCAGGCCCTGGAATCTTGTGAACTTTTTGTGGAAGGCTTTTCTCCAGCTGAGCTGGTCTTGATATTGCCAGGTCTCTCTACAGTCAGGTGATCAGTCATGTGACTTTATTATTTGACAACACCATTTTACAGTAAGTTACCTGGTAAACACAATTGTACAGACATGAAGACAACACGACCCCTGGAACATTACCGGGTGCCACACAAACACAAAATTAGGGCAGACAACACAATCACTGCAACATTTATAATCTATGTACAACCACAACATGATAAAACAGTGGAGACAGGTATGAAAATACCTGGCCAGAATCCTGCAAATATCTGGACTCCACTTCTGCATGAGTCAGCTCCCTCGGCTTGAGGGGTGATCCATGCATGGCGTGGCACTTGATCTCATTGACTGGCTGGCTCTTGGGTCTGGCAGGAGAGCATATAACAACATTAGACCCCGCGGGTCATCACAGAGAACATAATGACCGGTCCAACTGTGTCGGGTTCACTGACTGTGTGGAGTCAGCACGCAGATTTGTGTGCTCTTTTGTTAGCTCACAGACTGTCACAAAGTTACTCTTGTAGATCATCCCATTCTAAATTGTTATCTCACAGGCTGTCACAAAGTTACTCTTGTAGATCATCCCATTCTAAATTGTTATCTCACAGGCTGTCACAAAGTTACTCTTGTAGATCATCCCATTCTAAATTGTTAGCTCACAGACAGTCACAAAGTTACTCTTGTAGATCATCCTATTCTAAATTGTTAGCTCACAGACTGTCACAAAGTTACTCTTGTAGATCATCCCATTCTAAATTGTTAGCTCACAGACTGTCACAAAGTTACTCTTGTAGATCATCCCATTCTAAATTGTTAGCTCACAGACTGTCACAAAGTTACTCTTGTAGATCATCCCATTCTAAATTGTTAGCTCACAGACTGTCACAAAGTTACTCTTGTAGATCATCCCATTCTAAATTGTTAGCTCACAGACTGTCACAAAGTTACTCTTGTAGATCATCCCATTCTAAATTGTTAGCTCACAGACTGTCACAAAGTTACTCTTGTAGATCATCCCATTCTAACTTGTTAGCTCACAGGCTGTTACAAAGTTACTCTTGTAGATCATCCCATTCTAACTTGTTAGCTCACAGGCTGTCACAAAGTTACTCTTGTAGATCATCCCATTCTAAATTGTTAGCTCACAGGCTGTCACAAACTTACTCTTGTAGATCATCCCATTCTAACTTGTTAGCTCACAGGCTGTCACAAAGTTGCTCTTGTAGATCATCCCATTCTAACTTGTTAGCTCACAGGCTGTCACAAAGTTACTCTTGTAGATCATCCCATTCTAAATTGTTAGCTCACAGGCTGTCACAAAGTTACTCTTGTAGATCATCCCATTCTAAATTGTTAGCTCACAGGCTGTCACAAGAGTTACTCTTGTAGATGAAATTGTTAGTTCACAGGCTGTCACAAAGTTACTCTTGTAGATCATCCCATTCTAACTTGTTAGCTCAGAGACTGTCACAAACTTACTCTTGTAGATCATCCCATTCTAACTTGTTAGCTCACAGGCTGTCACAAAGTTACTCTTGTAGATCATCCCATTCTAACATATTTTATGTTACGACTTTGTGAGATAGAGAAACTAGTCACATTTATGAAATAGGTACTTTGATTACAACTTCTACACCTTACCACCTCTACAACTTTGCTAGTGGGTCTGTAGGACAATCTACACCAGAAGATGGGACTTTGCTAGTGGATCTGGAGGACAATCTACACCAGAAGATGGGACTTTGCTAGTGGATCTGTAGGACAATCTACACCAGAAGATGGGACTTTGCTAGTGGATCTGGAGGACAATCTACACCAGAAGATAGGACTTTGCTAGTGGGTCTGTAGGACAATCTACACCAGAAGATGGGACTTTGGTAGTGGATCTGTAGGACAATCTACACCAGAAGATAGGACTTTGCTAGTGGATCTGTAGGACAATCTACACCAGAAGATAGGACTTTGCTAGTGGATCTGTAGGACAATCTACACCAGAAGATGGGACTTTGCTAGTGGATCTGTAGGACAATCTACACCAGAAGATGGGACTTTGCTAGTGGATCTGTAGGACAATCTACACCAGAAGATGGGACTTTGCTAGTGGATCTGGAGGACAATCTACACCAGAAGATGGGACTTTGCTAGTGGATCTGTAGGACAATCTACACCAGAAGATGGGACTTTGCTAGTGGGTCTGGGGGACAATCTATAGCAGAAGATGGGACTTTGCTAGTGGATCTGTAGGACAATCTACACCAGAAGATAGGACTTTGCTAGTGGATCTGGAGGACAATCTACACCAGAAGATGGGACTTTGCTAGTGGATCTGGAGGACAATCTACACCAGAAGATAGGACTTTGCTAGTGGATCTGGAGGACAATCTATACCAGAATATGGGACTTTGCTTGTGGATCTGGGGGACAATCTACACCAGAAGATAGGACTTTGCTAGTGGGTCTGGGGGACAATCTATACAAGAAGATAGGACTTTGATAGTGGGTCTGGAGGACAATCTACACTAGAAGATAGGACTTTGCTAGTGGGTCTGGAGGACAATCTACACCAGTCCTACTCCATGAGATGCGAGAAGTTTACAAAGCCAACATGCATCAGGAAGACAGCAGTATTTCACTGAGAAGATCATGAGAGAGGTAGTGTTTCACTGACATAATCAAGAGAGAGGTAGTGTTTCACTGACATAATCAAGAGAGAGGTAGTGTTTCACTGACAAGATCAAGAGAGAGGTAGAATTTCACTGACATCATCAAGAGAGAGGTAGTGTTTCACTGATAAGATCAAGAGAGAGGTAGTGTTTCACTGATAAGATCAAGAGAGAGGTAGTGTTTCACTGATAAGATCAAGAGAGAGGTAGTGTTGCACTGATGGATCAAGAGAGAGGTAGTGTTTCACTGATAAGATCAAGAGAGAGGTAGTGTTTCACTGATAAGATCAAGAGAGAGGTAGTGTTTCACTGATAAGATCAAGAGAGAGGTAGTGTTTCACTGATAAGATCAAGAGAGAGGTAGTGTTTCACTGATAAGATCAAGAGAGAGGTAGTGTTTCACTGATAAGATCAAGAGAGAGGTAGTGTTTCACTGATAAGATCAAGAGAGAGGTAGTGTTTCACTGATCAAGAGATTACACCAGAGAGAGGTAGTGTTTCACTGATAAGATCAAGAGAGAGGTAGTGTTTCACTGATAAGATCAAGAGAGAGGTAGTATTTCACTGACAAGATCAAGAGAGAGATAGTGTTTCACTGACATGATCAAGAGAGAGGTAGTGTTTCACTGACATGATTAAGAGAGAGGTAGTGTTTCACTGACATGATTAAGAGAGAGATAGTGTTTCACTGACATGATTAAGAGAGAGGTAGTGTTTCACTGACATGATCAAGAGAGAGGTAGTGTTTCACTGATAAGATCAAGAGAGAGGTAGTGTTTCACTGATAAGATCAAGAGAGAGGTAGTGTTTCACTGACAAGATCAAGAGAGAGGTAGTGTTTCACTGATAAGATCAAGAGAGAGGTAGTGTTTCACTGACATGATCAAGAGAGAGGTAGTATTTCACTGACATCATCAAGAGAGAGGTAGTGTTTCACTGATAAGATGAAGAGAGAGGTAGTGTTTCACTGACATCATCAAGAGAGAGGTAGTGTTTAACCGATAAGATCAAGAGAAAGGTAGTATTTCACTGACATCATCAAGAGAGAGGTAGTGTTTCATTGACAAGATCAAGAGAGAGGTAGTATTTCACTGACATCATAAAGAGAGAGGTAGTATTACACTGATAAGATCAAGAGAGATGTAGTGTTTCATTAACAAGATCAAGAGAGAGGTAGTGTTTCACTGACAAGATCAAGATAGAGGTAGTGTTTCACTGATAAGATCAAGAGAGAGGTAGTGTTTCATTGACAAGATCAAGAGAGAGGTAGTATTTCACTGACATCATCAAGAGAGAGGTAGTGTTTCATTGACAAGATCAAGAGAGAGGTAGTATTTCACTGACATCATCAAGAGAGAGGTAGTATTACACTGATAAGATCAAGAGAGATGTAGTGTTTCATTAACAAGATCAAGAGAGAGGTAGTGTTTCACTGACAAGATCAAGATAGAGGTAGTGTTTCACTGATAAGATCAAGAGAGAGGTAGTGTTTCATTGACAAGATCAAGAGAGAGGTAGTATTTCACTGACATCATCAAGAGAGAGGTAGTATTTCACTGATAAGATCAAGAGAGAGGTAGTGTTTCATTGACAAGATCAAGAGAGAGGTAGTGTTTCATTGACAAGATCAAGAGAGAGGTAGTGTTTCATTGACAAGATCAAGAGAGAGGTAGTGTTTCACTGACAAGATCAAGATAGAGGTAGTGTTTCATTGACAAGATCAAGAGAGAGGTAGTGTTTCATTGACAAGATCAAGATAGAGGTAGTGTTTCATTGACAAGATCAAGAGAGAGGTAGTGTTTCATTGACAAGATCAAGAGAGAGGTAGTGTTTCACTGACAAGATCAAGAGAGAGGTAGTGTTTCACTGACAAGATCAAGAGAGAGGTAGTGTTTCACTGACAAGATCAAGAGAGAGGTAGTAATTCACTGACAAGATCAAGAGAGAGGTAGTAATTCACTGACAAGATCAAGAGAGAGGTAGTTTTTCACTGACATCATTAAGAGAGAGGTAGTGTTTCACTGATAAGATCAAGAGAGAGGTAGTGTTTCACTGATAAGATCAAGATAGAGGTAGTTTTTCACTGACATGATCGAGAGAAAGGTAGTATTTCACTGACATCATCAAGAGAGAGGTAGTGTTTCACTGATAAGATCAAGAGAGAGGTAGTGTTTCACTGATAAGATCAAGAGAGAGGTAGTTTTTCACTGACATCATTAAGAGAGAGGTAGTGTTTCACTGACAAGATCAAGAGAGAGGTAGTAATTCACTGACAAGATCAAGAGAGAGGTAGTTTATCACTGACATCATTAAGAGAGAGGTAGTGTTTCACTGATAAGATCAAGAGAGAGGTAGTGTTTCACTGATAAGATCAAGATAGAGGTAGTTTTTCACTGACATGATCGAGAGAAAGGTAGTATTTCACTGACATCATCAAGAGAGAGGTAGTGTTTCACTGATAAGATCAAGAGAGAGGTAGTGTTTCACTGATAAGATCAAGAGAGAGGTAGTTTTTCACTGACATCATTAAGAGAGAGGTAGTATTTCACTGACATCATCAAGAGAGAGGTAGTGTTTCACTGATAATATCAAGAGAGAGGTAGTAATTCACTGACAAGATCAAGAGAGGTAGTAATTCACTGACATAACCAAGAGAGAGGTAGTGTTTCACTGATAAGATCAAGAGAGAGGTAGTGTTTCACTGATAAGATCAAGAGAGAGGTAGTAATTCACTGATAAGATCAAGATAGAGGTAGTAATTCACTGACATAACCAAGAGAGAGGTAGTAATTCACTGATAAGATCAAGAGAGAGGTAGTAATTCACTGATAAGATCAAGAGACAGGTAGTAATTCACTGACATAACCAAGAGAGAGGTAGTAATTCACTGATAAGATCAAGAAAGAGGTAGTAATTCACTGAGAAGATCAAGAGAGAGGTAGTGTTTCACTGACAAGATCACTGAGAAGTAATTCACTGACAGAGAAGAGAGTAGTAATTCACTGACAAGATCAAGAGAGAGGTAGTATTTCACTGACAAGATCAAGAGAGAGGTAGTAATTCACTGACAAGATCAAGAGAGAGGTAGTAATTCACTGACATAATCAAGAGAGAGGTAGTAATTCACTGACAAGATCAAGAGAGAGGTAGTAATTCACTGACAAGATCAAGAGAGAGGTAGTAATTCACTGACATCATTCAAGAGAGAGGTAGTGTTTCACTGATAAGATCAAGAGAGAGGTAGTGTTTCACTGACATCATCAAGAGAGTGGTAGTGTTTCACTGATAAGATTAGGAGAAAGGTAGTGTTTCACTGATAAGATCAAGATAGAGGTAGTGTTTCACTAATAAGATCAAGAGAGAGGTAGTGTTTCACTGACATCATCAAGAGAGAGGTAGTAATTCGCTGACAGGATCAAGATAGAGGTATCACTGATAAGATCAAGAGAAAGGTAGTATTTCACTGACATCATCAAGAGAGAGGTAGTGTTTTACTGACATCATCAAGAGAGAGGTAGTGTTTCACTGATAAGATCAAGAGAAAGGTAGTGTTTCACTGATAAGATCAAGATAAAGGTAGTGTTTCATTGATAAAATCAAGAGAGAGGTAGTTTTTCACTGACATCATTAAGAGAGAGGTAGTGTTTCACTGATAAGATCAAGAGAGAGGTAGTGTTTCACTGACATGATCAAGAGATAGGTAGTAATTCACTGACATAACCAAGAGAGAGTCTAGGACGGCAGCAACTAATCAACTGCGTAAACAGATGATGACAACAGACACACCTGTACTTTGGATGGCTGCAGAGGTAGGAGGCAAGGACCACAACTTCATATTCACACGTAGAACTCTCCTTCAGCTCTAAGATCTCCCCCATGCCCTCCGGCTGACACACGTAGAAGACATGAGCTTTCCGTGGCTTGCCCGTCAAGTCACACCTGCTACCTCCATCCATGATGACCTCATAGTAAGGCAGCTCAACACCATCTACAGACCTGACAGGAACACCGGCTGTGACTTCTGCCGGAATGTCGGCGGCATCTGTCAGTGATGACATCATGTTCTCATTTATCAGAACAATCTTAGTGTCAGCCTGTAGGTGACTTGGTCACTCATGTTTTACTATAGATGTATCAGTAGACAAGAAGCAAATGGCCAGTAATGCTCGTGTCTTTACAACCAGCATCCAAGTTCTGCAATCCCCACCTGGATGCTCAGAGTGAGTCACCTAATAGGAAGTCATCACCAGTTGCCATTTCTGACAGCATTAACAACTAGAACTGTTGGGGTTGTGCATCAACTTGAGGCCATGATCTCTCCGTGTATGACAATCCATGACTCAAACCAATCCTGATTCAACCACCATCAGTGTGTCTACAAACATGCAAGTGAGAAGCATTTTCTACCCAGACAAAGAGTCACATTAATATAGTCACTCCTACCATCTCAGGCAGATTTTCTCTTGACACAGCATCTGTCTAGTCCAGAAAGGGACAAGAATTCTGATGTGACAGTCTCTGATGATGCTGATGATGATACCATTACAAGAGTTCTCATGAAGAACTCTGACCAGCCGTGGAAGTTCCACTGTAATTCTTCATAGCCTGGAGTTTTTCCTTGACTTAGTGGCCTGTAGACATTTCTTAACATACTGTACAGAGGATAATTTTGTAGAATGTCTTCTTCTTCTTCTTCATCATGTTCATTGCCTGCAAATTCCAGTGGAAAGTTCTGGCTGTTCATCCACTCTCCACTTCTGGACTTTGGACTTGTTCCAGACTGAGCACATACATCCATTTTACAGATTTGTCTTAGCATGCAGACTGTTGGTTCCTTGCTTCTTGCCACTCCATTCCCCCCCCCCCCCCCCCCACACACACACACACACACACGCGCACGCGAAAATAAAAGGGGGCCCTGGACCCACACAGGGAATTCTGTAGAACATGTTCGCAGGTTTGCCAAGTCCACACAGAGATAGCAGAACTTGATGCTGGTGTTGAGGTCAAACTAGTCAACAGTGTGCTTTTCGCTGTTGGGTTGTTTCAGTACAATCCTGATAGGCTGGCTCTCTTCCTCAAGGTGTGTGTGAGACTGATAATGTTCTAGTTTAAGTATCTAGTGAGATTTTTTTTTTTTAGCCTTGAACATCAAGTGGTTCAGCTGCCCAAACATTCTCTTTCTCAAAATGTACACAGAAGGACAAAAATTAATCAGTGACTGGAATAATCAAAGCCAAACAAAAGTCTTTGAGCACAGTGGATGGATGTGTCAGATATCATCCTCACACAGTGTTGAAGTTACAACTCAATGCCTGGCTGAAATAGAACAAGTCCTTGAGCACAGTGGATGGATGTGTCAGATATCATCCTCACAAAGAGCTGAAGTTATAACTCAGTGACTGGCTGACACAGAACAAGTCCTTGAGCACAGTGGATGGATGTGTCAGATATCATCCTCACACAGTGTTGAAGTTACAACTCAATGCCTGGCTGAAATAGAACAAGTCCTTGAGCACAGTGAATGGATGTGTCAGATATCATCCTCACACAGTGTTGAAGTTATAACTCAATGCCTGGCTGAAACAGAACAAGTCCTTGAGCACAGTGAATGGATGTGTCAGATATCATCCTCACACAGTGTTGAAGTTATAACTCAATGCCTGGCTGAAACAGAACAAGTCCTTGAGCACAGTGGGTGGATGTATCAGATATCATCCTCACAAAAAGCTATAACTCAGTGACTGGCTGACATAGGAAGGGATTTAGTACTTCATGCAACAATAAATGTGTAAATACCTTTCATCTGTTCATGGTGGTTTCCCATTCCAAGGTAATATTCTTGAACTTTCGGCTCCTGGAAGTGAGCAGTCAGTTAGGAATAATGAAACAATTAAAAAAAATTTATGAAACATTTCTTGCGATGTCATTACATCATTTTATAAGATAAAGTAAAGGATCCAGATTTCTCACAATCACAACATATTAAGGACACAGTTTGTGTTCACAGTGGAACCTGCAAACACTTGCTGGCTCCATAGGCAGAAGCCCACTTGCCAAAGCAATTACCACATTATGCACAGGCTTCCTTGTCGTAGTAAATGTCCCGTTATTTACAGCAGATTGAACTTACACCTGCTGATGCCTGAGGTCAACATTCTAACCTTCCTGACCAATTGCTGCCCATTACTAGGGCTCATCCCTTAACTGGATTCATTTCCTTTCAGGACTGAAACATTGGCTGACCACCTCAGCAGTGGACACTGGACAGTCAGCCTCCCTCATCCCTTAACTGGATTCATTTCCTTTCAGGACTGAAACATTGGCTGACCACCTCAGCAGTGGACACTGGACAGTCAGCCTCCCTCATCCCTTAACTGGATTCATTTCCTTTCAGGACTGAAACATTGGCTGACCACCTCAGCAGTGGACACTGGACAGTCAGCCTCCCTCATCCCTTAACTGGATTCATTTCCTTTCAGGACTGAAACATTGGCTGACCAGCTCAGCAGTGGACACTGGACAGTCAGCCTCCCTCATCCCTTAACTGGATTCATTTCCTTTCAGGACTGAAACATTGGCTGACCAGCTCAGCAGTGGACACTGGACAGTCAGCCTCCCTCATCCCTTAACTGGATTCATTTCCTTTCAGGACTGAAACATTGGCTGACCAGCTCAGCAGTGGACACTGGACAGTCAGCCTCCCTCATCCCTTAACTGGATTCATTTCTTCTCAAGACCGAAACATGATTTCTTCTCAAGACCGAAACATCAGCTGACCAGTTCAGCAGTGGACACTGGACAGTCAGTCTCCTGAGGTATCATCAAGCAGCCATGAACAGAGAACATGTGAAGCAATCAAGAATATAAGAAGGACTGTAAACAACAGACAGCAGGAAGAACTCATGTCTTCACAGAGTACAGCAACCACATGTACCAACCTTGCCCTGTTCCTTGGTCTCATGATACTGCTTCAAGTGTTTGCCATGACACAACTCGTAGGTCCAGTAATTCTCTATCTGTGCTCACAAACAGCAACAATCTATTTGTTACTGATGTGATTAGTCTCATAAATAACAAGGTACTCAATAACTTTAGTTATATTGTATATATTTTAGCAAGTAATCATTTGTTTCCACTGTCAAAGTGTGCTCTCATGGTTGTGTACAGTCAGCTTCATCACTGACTGATCTGACACGCCAATGAGGAGTGTATAATAGTTTGTCTAAAATAACAGCTATATCCTCTCACTCACTCTCACACATGCATTCACACACCACACCAAATTAATGATGACATCTCACACGTGCATTCACACACCACACCAAATTAATGATGACATCTCACACGTGCATTCACACACCACACCAAATTAATGATGACATCTCACACGTGCATTCACACAGACACACACAACACCAAATTAGTGATGACATCTCACACGTGCATTCACACAGACACACACAACACCAAATTAGTGATGACATTCTCACACGTGCATTCACACAGACACACACAACACCAAATTAGTGATGACATCTCACACGTGCATTCACACACCACACCAAATTAATGATGACATCTCACACGTGCATTCACACAGACACACACAACACCAAATTAGTGATGACATTCTCACACGTGCATTCACACAGACACACACAACACCAAATTAGTGATGACATTCTCACACGTGCATTCACACAGACACACACAACACCAAATTAGTGATGACATTCTCACACATGCATTCACACAGACACACACAACACCAAATTAGTGATGACATTCTCACACATGCATTCACACGCATACATACAACACCAAATTAATGATGAAATTCACACACAAACACAACACCAAATTAATGATGACATTCACACAGATAACACCAAATTAATTATGACATTCTTACACATGCATTCACACGCATACATACAACACCAAATTAATGATGACATTCACACACACACACACACAACACCAAATGAATGATGAAATTCACACACAAACACAACACCAAATTAATGATGACATTCACACACATACACACAACACCAAATTAATGATGACATTCACACACACAACACCAAATTAATGATGACATTCACACACACAACACCAAATTAATGATGACATTCACACACACAACACCAAATTAATGATGACATTCACACACACAATATCAAATTAATGATGACATTCACACACATACACACAACACCAAATTAATGATGACATTCACACACACAACACCAAATTAATGATGACATTCACACACACAACACCAAATTAATGATGACATTCACACACACAACACCAAATTAATGATGACATTCACACACATACACACAACACCAAATTAATGATGACATTCACACACACACACACAACACCAAATTAATGATGACATTCACACACACAACACCAAATTAATGATGACATTTTCTTAAGCTTGTGCTTTTTTCCCAATGCAGTTAAAGCTTTCAGCCAATTTAGGTCAAGCCCATAGTAGAGGTGTCATGACTGTCCAGATTTGGCAGCTACAGCTGTTTCTGCGATGAAGCAGTTAGTTTTTCCCAAGTCTTCCTGGCCACATGCCTGGTTGGCTATTGTAACTATTCCATGCTTTCCAAACAGGCAAATTATTACATTCATTGAAAGCTACAATAACGATGCATTATAGAATTTATTACTTACATAAACAACAACTAATTTGTTTATCCATTACTGATAAAATGAACAAACAGAAACTGCTGGCTGTGGAAAACAGGCTGATATCTCAGACAGTGATCAGATCTTTCCAACCACAACAACACTCACCCGATAAGAGCAGCGATTTTCCCGAAAAAATGGCCTCAACAGTTCGTCGGCAGACGGGCCTGTGTAGGTCAGTGCCTCATTCTGAAATCCCGCCAAACAAGGTTAGTTGTTAAAGTAGTGCGTCTGCATCAGGGACAGGTGTGATTACAATTCAGGACACGCAAGAGAAAAAAAAAAACATTGTAGTATCACATGATGATATAAGAAACATGATTAGTGATCTGTTCAATAAACAAACATTTGCTATGTTGCTCTAAAGTTAACTCTTTGAGTCCCAGGGGGGGTTAGCATCACAGGCCTAGGGGGTAGTAAAGAGAGTCATAAAATCAGCGCATCTTGCGTTCATTGGGCTTCTAGGTAAGAACCTATGAACGTATGTTGCGTTTCTTGGGCTTCTAGGTAAGAACCTATGAACGTATGTTGCGTTTCTTGGGACTCAAAGAGTTAAGGCATAATAATCAAACAGTGGAAGACTACTTCAGCATCAAACAACAGCACTGACACAATGCAGGAAGCAGCAGTTAAGAGTTATAAACCTCATTTATAGCCATACTGCAAATGCTGGGGAGAAAAAAGAGGGCCACAAATCCATCAGAATTCTCCCCAAATTTCCTTTGAAAACTACAACACTACACAGGTAAATAGCAAATTGATTTAAAACTTATTTATGTACCGTAAAAAAGAAAAAAAAGTCCCTCAAAATATATCATGCTACTTGTATGTAAAGGGAGTAATCAGTAAACAAGAACAGGATGAAGCATTCAATGTATTTCATTCCCCAGGGCCTAAAACAAATATGTATCAAGGGAGTAATCAGTAAACAAGATCAGGATGAAGCATTCAATGTGTTTCATTCCCCAGGGCCTAAAACAAATATGTATCAAGGGAGTAATCAGTAAACAAGATCAGGATGAAGCATTCAATGTGTTTCATTCCCCAGGGCCTAAAACAAATATGTATCAAGGGAGTAATCAGTAAACAAGATCCCCCCCCCCCCCCTTTTCAATGTTATATTTAGTTAATATACTCACATCCTAGTCTCCTAAACACCACAAAGGCACACACAGAACCAACAGCATTTAACTACACTTCAAGAATAGGCCACTGCAGAAATGGCGACATATCAGCATTTACGGGCATGTGTCACAACCAAAGTCACTAGATTTAACCACCTCGGGGCAACAGGGTTAATGCTCAATTTGTTGAGAGTAAGATGCCAGGGGCCGCTTCCAGTGATAGGAGAGATCACTGTGGATCGGACAAGACAGCTACCTCTTGTCCAAGGTGGGCAGTCCCCGTTAATAAAGCACTGTTTCTCCATGGTTCAGGTGCCACAAAGTGAGTGGAGTTTAGGGATAAAATCTTGACACACAGGATTGCAAATCATACACCTGGCAACAGGAAAGTCACCAGTGGCGCCTGCCCGGCAACACAACTTTAGAGTCCCATGGGACTGAAGGGCGCTTACTACCACCACTACTACTACAACTTATTCATTATCCTTTTAGCCATTATATGTCACATAGGACTGACATTCTATTCCTCCATTACCTTCTATCTTGTGCAATCAGTTCAATATCATGGATGGAATCCAGTCCAGCAGCTTTGGCCTCTCTTATCCACATTTCTTTTATGGTTTCTTTTGGGCGTTCTCATTTTCTTAATCCCTTTATTTCCCCATTCCTGTTTGGTCATTACCAAGCAGGCATCCTCATCATCACCAAACTACTAGTACCACTACCACTAATAATAATAATTTCCTTAATCAGTTTCAATATCCAGGCTATCTAACCCATATATTGTGGGCACTATGCCAAAATAACAACAGTGCTAAATTCTTGTTTTGAGAAAACTGAGTTGAAACATTAGATGACTTGGCCACAGTGCCAATGATCTACAACCCCCAGGTGACAAGAATCAACATGCCAATCACATGACTAAACTGGACACCTCACCTCCAATGACTTGAGTGTTGCTGGCAATATACAGCGGTAGTGCTCCCTGTGATTGGTTGTGACCATCACGTGACGATCCCCAAGCAGGTCAACCTAGAAGCATTCAATCATCTCATTAAATCTAAGAATGGACAGAAAGGAGGAAAGCACCAACACAAACAAAAACAAAAGCATACTCATCAGGGATGAAACAGACAGACAGTGAGACAGACAGAACAAACTTTATTTTTAATGGGTCACATACTGGGCTTACAGGTCCAACTACTCAGTACTTGTCATTTATGTATTATGTATGTTCCACATACAATTGTCTTACATGTATCATGTATGTTCCACATACAATTGTCTTACATGTATCATGTATGTTCCACATACAATTGTCTGACATGTATCATGTATGTTCCACATACAATTGTCTGACATGTATCATGTATGTTCCACATACAATTGTCTTACATGTATCATGTATGTTCCACATACAATTGTCTTACATGTATCATGTATGTTCCACATACAATTGTCTTACATGTATCATGTATGTTCCACATACAATTGTCTTACATGTATCATGTATGTTCCACATACAATTGTCTGACATGTATCATGTATGTTCCACATACAATTGTCTGACATGTATCATGTATGTTCCACATACAATTGTCTTACATGTATCATGTATGTTCCACATACAATTGTCTTACATGTATCATGTATGTTCCACATACAATTGTCTTACATGTATCATGTATGTTCCACATACAATTGTCTTACATGTATCATGTATGTTCCACATACAATTGTCTGACATGTATCATGTATGTTCCACATACAATTGTCTGACATGTATCATGTATGTTCCACAATTGTCTGACATGTATCATGTATGTTCCACATACAATTGTCTTACATGTATCATGTATGTTCCACATACAATTGTCTTACATGTATCATGTATGTTCCACATACAATTGTCTGACATGTATCATGTATGTTCCACATACAATTGTCTGACATGTATCATGTATGTTCCACAATTGTCTGACATGTATCATGTATGTTCCACATACAATTGTCTTACATGTATCATGTATGTTCCACATACAATTGTCTTACATGTATCATGTATGTTCCACATACAATTGTCTTACATGTATCATGTATGTTCCACATACAATTGTCTGACATGTATCATGTATGTTCCACATACAATTGTCTGACATGTATCATGTATGTTCCACAATTGTCTGACATGTATCATGTATGTTCCACATACAATTGTCTTACATGTATCATGTATGTTCCACATACAATTGTCTGACATGTATCATGTATGTTCCACATACAATTGTCTGACATGTATCATGTATGTTCCACATACAATTGTCTTACATGTATCATGTATGTTCCACATACAATTGTCTGACATGTATCATGTATGTTCCACATACAATTGTCTTACATGTATCATGTATGTTCCACATACAATTGTCTGACATGTATCATGTATGTTCCACATACAATTGTCTGACATGTATCATGTATGTTCCACATACAATTGTCTGACATGTATCATGTATGTTCCACATACAATTGTCTGACATGTATCATGTATGTTCCACATACAATTGTCTTACATGTATCATGTATGTTCCACATACAATTGTCTGACATGTATCATGTATGTCTGACATACAATTGTCTTACATGTATTATGTATGTTCCACATACAACTGTCTTACATGTATCATGTATGTTCCACATACAATTGTCTGACATGTATCATGTATGTTCCACATACAATTGTCTGACATGTGTCATGTATGTTCCACATACAATTGTCTGACATGTATGTATGTTTGACATGTCTTACATGTATCATGTATGTTCCACATACAATTGTCTGACATGTATCATGTATGTTTGACATACAATTGTCTTACATGTATCATGTATGTTCCACATACAATTGTCTGACATGTATCATGTATGTTTGACATACAATTGTCTTACATGTATTATGTATGTTCCACATACAATTGTCTTACATGTATTATGTATGTTCCACATACAATTGTCTGACATGTATCATGTATGTTCCACATACAATTGTCTGACATGTATCATGTATGTTCCACATACAATTGTCTGACATGTATCATGTATGTTTGACATACAATTGTCTTACATGTATCATGTATGTTCCACATACAATTGTCTGACATGTATCATGTATGTTTGACATACAATTGTCTGACATGTATCATGTATGTTCCACATACAATTGTCTGACATGTATCATGTATGTTCCACATACAATTGTCTGACATGTATCATGTATGTTCCACATACAATCGTCTGACATGTATCATGTATGTTCCACATACAATTGTCTGACATGTATCATGTATGTTCAGCTCATTTAGGAATAAAGGAAAAATGAATACTAAGAACATACTCGAAAGCATAATATGAGAAAACATACATTAATATTTATGTGTATTCGTACATACATATGTATCTGTGTTCATATATAAATACTAGGGCCGAATACGAATAGCTAGATCAACTATTCGGCCGAATACAAATACGAATAGTGAATCATCATCATCAGGTGCTTTGCCGACTGGCATGGGTGATTATGCCTTGCCACAATGCTATCTCCTGCAGCATGTATTAGTTCGTGTGCTGACACACCTCCATGCATCATTTCACTCGTTGTCTTCCTCTATCACTCCTTCCACAGATCTTTCCAGTGGTCACCACATGTTCCATTTTCCCTCATCTTATAACATGGCCGAAAAATGACGACTGTCTCCTTCTGATGTCTGTGATAAGTTGTCTTCGGGCTCCAGCCTCTATCACAACCTCTTAGTTGCTTTTTCTGTGGCTGTTCAAGGTATTTTAAGTATTTTTCTGTTAAAACCACATCTCTGAGGCCTCAAGAAATTGTTTGGCCTGCCTACCGATTGTCCAGGACTTACAGCCATATGTTAAAACTGGATGTATGTAGCAAGCAAGAATTCTTTTTCTCACCTTTAATGGCAAAGATATTTTGCATAAGATGTTCTTCGTTTTATAAAATGCAGTTTTTGCCTGTCCTGTTCTGTTTCTTATTTCAGTAATGCA